GGCCCTGCAACATGAGCGACAGCTGCCAATCCTCCGAAAAGGAAAATGTGGGATAGCCGCCCACATCGACGATCGCCTTCCGCCGAAAGACGGCCCCGGATCCTGCATCGATGGCGGCTCCCATCCGGTCGAGTTCGGAATTGTGGCATGTGTAAAAGTGCACACGAGACTGTTGCAGCGGGTCACCGTCGGGCAGGTTATAGTAGTATTGCCTTGTCGTGAGCAAAGCGGCCTGGGGATCTTTCAGCAGATGAGGCAGCGTGGCTCGCAGAAAATCGGAGGTGGGCATGCAGTCGGCATCCAGAACAGCGCAAAACTCGGGCTGCACCTCGTTCTGCAGCGAGAAGAGCGCATAGTTGAGGTTTCCGGCTTTGGCGAACACGCGGCCGGAGTGCTGTCCGCGCGTGTGGTACGACAGGTGAGGCCATTGGGAGCGTAGTTCTGCGACGGCATCGCGCAGTGCAGGAGAGGCCCCATCATCCAACAGAAGCACTCGAAAATGAGTGACGGGATAGTCCATAGTGCAGGCGGCGCGGACCGTGTCCAAAACCACATCCGTCGGCTCTCCACAGCAGGGAACCAGGACGTCGACCTGAGGCAGATGGTCGCTGCCATGGAGTCGCAGCCGGTCCCGGGGACGGCTTTGTGACGACCTGCCTGCTGCTACCGTGAGGAGCTGATCATTCCGAGGCATACCTGGCTGGAGTTAGTTGCCGTCAAGGAAGCACGCAGCGCGAGAATTTGTCGATGACTTACGGGCAAAAATATGCTCGACAAGAAGCATCAGCCATATCTGCCATGTCTGCTGGGGTGCCGTGATGACCAGGAACAAGCGCACGAGAAAGTAGAGGTGAAAAGCCCAGATGGCTGCCTTGCTTACGAGATAGAGGGCCGTCCTGTACTTCAAACTGAACCGAATGCGGTCGTCTGGTGGAAGCTCCCGGATGTCATACTCGTATTTTGACAGCATTGCAGTAATTGCAGTAATTGGCTGGGCTATTTTCGTGGATCAGGGGTACTTCCAATCGGCTTGTTGTTGCTGTTCCCAAAATGGAACCAATTCTGCACTCTAAAGCTCCCTCATGATGGACGAAATTGGACAGCTCCGGTTAAGACGATGGGCTCTACAGAAGTCTAAAGTCGAATTATTTATCTTCTCGGTAGACATCTTCGCTGGCCGTGTTCCCCTGAAGGCGCGAGTCGGTGAGGGCGTGGCTTTTGTCTAGATGCCATCGCGCCGGTCCATTGGCTGCCCGCGGATAGTCTCGGTCCACTAATTGCCTAATCGGGGTATTTGAGGTTCTACGAGATGCGCCGACAGTCGACGACGCTTTTTCTTCTTTGGTCGTTTGCAATATGTTTGGCAAGATGTTCATTCCTGTCATGGTCTAGATACTCTATTCAGATCAATCCATGTCTCCAGAATGGATACAATGAACAGATTGACAGATTGACAGAATGACAGCCGAAGTTCGGAAGTTGCCGGATCCTCGTGGTCCGGCAATAGCACGGCCATCTGGCGGCCAATCTCGGCCATATTATTCATAGGATGTGGGACTATGATCACAAGTCGATTCAAGAGTGGTCTCTGGGCTTTATACAAAGGACAATTGCGAGATACATGATTCGGAAGTTGCACCCACTGTCGGCAACATATATTTCCCGTACCTGGGAATACTGACTAAAGCCCCTTTACTAAGTATACGTGTTGAACGTATTTTCTACTGGTTACTGAATGCAAGGATTAGGAATTTCAATCTGCATGATAGTCAGGTACAGGCAGTCAGGTACAGGCCATCTAGACGCTTGTGTTGGGGTTTGAAGAAAGATTCCGGTATATGGCCCGGGAACATGCCCTGGTTTAACTTCAGCCTTTGTATCAAGCCTCGACACCAATGTAACTCTCCCCGGCTTTTACTTATTGGGGGCCAACAACCCTGGCCGATTCTGAAGCACCGGTAGTTCCTAGTCGGCTTTTATGCATCGTTTCTTCCTTAGTGCCGGAGCCGTATATTATCTGCAGCGACAACGGGCGTATCAGAGTCATCCGGCTTGTCCGCGCGGAGATTACAGCGTCGCAATGGACGAACCTTACCACATCCATCCTCCTCTCCGACGGGAGCCAGTCGGGGCAAGATCTAGCTCGGTATATCTTGTTTGGCATATTGGTCAGAGTCATTAGGCCAAGTCACGCCCAGTGCACGTTGCATGAGCTTAATCAATCAACAGCCATCACAGTTACATCGTCTTCGCCGATCGCCCTCTCTGTCGATTCAGGCTCGGCCCATTCTATGGCATCCCTATGGATCTCCCTTGAATGGTTCTTTCACGGGGACTTGTGCGTGTTTAGAGCGTTTCAGCCATGCTTCCCTCCAGCAGTTTCAACGCCAGTTGCAACGCTGAACGGACATTATCCTACTCCATGAAGTTACCATCGCATGCAGACGACGAAGATGGTGTATCGAGGATGTTGCTCGGATGTATGTCGCGTGAGAGCGCTGGTGGATAGTCACAGGAGATGGCATGGGTTGGAAATGGGATATAAAACAGGCGTCTCTTCGCAGCTCTTTCTCACGATCAGTCCAACGCACACACAGTCCTTTCGCTCTCAGGGTTCTTGACGAATCTGTCCTTTCTCTTCTTGTCATTCTCTATCTCGTTCACTTTCGGTCACTCCTTGTATCCCGGGTTCTCACCCCATCGACTTCATTACCATGCATTTTACCAAGGTGCTCAGTGCCTTCAGCCTGATGGCTGCTACCGTCTCTGCCATGCCCCATCGGCTGTCCTCGCGCGCGTCCGGTACCCAGAACGTTGTGTACTGGGGCCAGAACGGCGGCGGCACTGTCGAGAACAACGATCTGGCGTCCTACTGCACGTCGTCCTCCGGCATCGATATCATTGTCCTGGCCTTCCTGTATGAGTACGGAAATGGCAACACCATCGCCTCCGGTACCATCGGCCAGTCCTGCTACATTTCTCCCTCTGGGCAGCCGCAGAACTGCGACGCTCTAGCCTCTGCCATCAAGACCTGCCAATCCAACGGCGTCAAGGTCATCCTGTCCCTCGGAGGTGCCGTCGGCGCGTATTCCCTCTCCTCCCAGGCCGAGGCGGAGACAATCGGCCAAAACCTTTGGGAGGCCTATGGCAATACCCAGGGCAGTGGAAGCGTGCCTCGACCCTTTGGAAGCACCTTTGTCAACGGCTGGGACTTTGACATTGAAAGCTACGCTGGAAACGACTACTACCAGTACCTGATCAACAAGCTGCGCTCCAACTTTGTCTCGGATCCTTCCAACACGTACTACATCACCGGTGCGCCGCAATGTCCCATTCCGGAGCCCAACATGCAGGTCATTGTCACCAAGGCGCAGTTCGACTACCTCTGGGTGCAGTTCTACAACAACCCCGGCTGCTCCGTCAATGGCGCCATCAACTACGCCCAATGGGTCTCCAACCTGGCCAACACCCCCTCGGCCAACGCGAAGATCTTCATTGGCGTCCCTGCATCGCCGCTGGGTGCGACGGGAACGTCCAGTGGTGCTCAGTACTATCTCCAGCCCAGCGCTCTGGCTTCGCTTGTGGCTGAGTACAAGAACAATGCGGCTTTTGGGGGTGTCATGATGTGGTCCGCCGGATTCTCGGACTCCAACGTCAACAACGGTTGCACTTATGCCCAGGAGGCGAAGCGCATCCTGACTACCGGGTCTACTTGTTAATCACAATCAGCTGAATTCTCAGCATTGTGGACACTCTTTACTTCTTCTGTCGTTACTTCGCCTGTCTTTCGTTATCCTGTGTGTCTGTTAGCTGGCCGGGCCATCACCAGCAAATGTCATGTTGTGACTTTGTAAATATTGATTGTGATTTCTTGAATATTTGAAGTTTTCATGCGTCCTCAAGTCCAATACACGTAAAACACGCTTTTCATCCGGTATAGAAATGTTGGCTAGTTCAGCCCCTCAACTCTCGCTGGGATTAAATCCGTGACGGGGATGTTACCTAAAGCGGTCCTTGTATCTCTGTTCATCCCCGGGGGTTATCAGACTGTTCCTCTGGTGCGGCTTGACGTTCGTCCAGATGGATATTGTGCAGAAAGAACATAACAAGGAACATGTGGCCAATGCGCCGATCCAGCACTGGTCAGGAATCGCTGAGCCTCAGTAGCTACGGCCAGTTGCCTTTCGTACGGCAGTTCCCAGGGCATACTTCTGAGCGACAGCAATCGAGCTGAATGGCCTGTCGGGTCAGGACAGCCTGAACAGACACTTGGGACGCAGTTTGGTAGACCCGCGATCGATACCAATAACTTGGCCGACAAACGACGCTCTATTGTCGATCTTCCCATCGCCCATATTGACCAGATACAAGAGGACCCCCATGCCGAGGACACAGAAAGGCACACCGTCAGAGCTCTAATCATCGGACCGACTATCTGTTGCAGAATCCTGTGTTCAGTCCGCGACGAGCATAGACTCCAACCCCTTTATACAGCACTACAGCCTCCCGATGGACCGTAAGGGGGGAGTGAGACCAATTATCTTAAGGGACGACATCCTGGGATTGAGTTTTCCCAACACGGGCAATACTCCGAAGATGCACCTGCACTCTCATTGACCTGACGATGATGGAGGCTGGGCAGCATGGTTCAGTCCAGAGACCACCAATTGCTATGAAATACTGGACAACAGTGAATCGTTCATTGCTGACAGCGTTACATCGCGGTGGTGATGGTTGAGGCATCTCCGCATCTGGTTGCGTGTCCAGCAAATCGCGTCACTTGGCATGCAGAAATACGAGCAGTCCAATATACATCCGTGAAATTATCTCAAATGCGCGGGTGACCTCCTTCCTGTTTGAACTCGCAGAATGAGCTGATATCGTTTAAGATCAAGATATATAAAGGAGAGTATCTCCGCTCTGGAGTATCCATTCAACAACTCACTCCATCCTCCCAACGTCTAAAACATTCCACGCCTGCGCAGGAATCCCTATCCACGATGAAGTTCCTTGCAATTGCTTCTCTCCTGGCCTCGGCCAGCGCCACCATCGTCTATCCCTACACCAGCGCCTCCTGCGGGGGTGATTACGTCGGCAAGATCACCTCCTGCGGCTGTACCAATATGAGCCGCAACTACAAGATCAAAGGGGTCAAACTCGACTTCCAAAAGGCCACGGCCAGCTTCTACGAGGGCAGAGATTGCAAAGGTGTGCGTATCTCCAAGGCCTCGGACCAGAGTTGCGTCAAGCTTCCCGTCGATTGGGAATCCTTTGGTTCTGTGAGCATTCACGGGGGGACTTGCTGATCGCTGTCGCACATGCTCAGAGCTTTGCGTCTGGACATACGAGTGCGGAATATGGGCAGACTATCAAACACATCGTTGATTGAGCTAGCCAGGGCAGTTGAAGAATGCATGTTTCATCTATGCTCAAGTCTCTGGGACAGCCTATTTACAGATTCTTCAAGGCTTGCAATATATAATTCATGTGTTCTATTCATATCCATGCGCCATCTATCTCGTACCATTCAAATGAACCGTCTAGGTGGCGTTGTTCTTGCAAGTCCAGCTTGCATTGGATGAACTGTCATGAATCGATTTACCCGAGACGTAGAGACCCATGCCACACTAGTCTCTGTTAGTTGCTTCCTGGGAAGGACAGGACTGGTGAACTTACCAGGGCACAAGCGAACGCCAGGATGAGGATATTGACAATGGTCAAACAGATCTTGGAGCGAGTTGAGAACCACCGGCCCTTGTTCATCACGAGCCAAAAGATGGCGGGTAACCCGTCTATCCAAGTTAGTAATTACCCAAACTGTCAGAGTATTGGTGACTTACAGCTGAACCAACTTCCAAACAAGGAACTCTGTAGTCTCGTTAGTAATAGCCAAAGGGAAGTTGATAGTGAATGGACATACAATCAAACTTAGCAGCTCGTTGAACACAGGAATCGACTCTGCAATCACCCAGGCCACGACCCAGACGCTCAACCCAATGGCCACCCATGACCCGATAGCCAGGAAACTGTTCTGGTGCAGATGGGCGGATCCTCGGAAAATGCGCACGTAGATATACTTGCACGCGACATGGCCAAACACGACACCGGCAATCACCACGGTGGGAATCGCCAGGCCATAGGCAACCTTTTTCATCACAGGTCCGGCGGACGACAGAGCGGGAGATGCCACGTCGGGGCCAGCGTAGCGGTAGATGACCATCGCCGTCACAATGTACAAGCTGGTGTCCACCACCTGAAGCATCGTCAGGGACTTGGGGAAGTCCCGGGGGTCATGCATTTCCGAGATGAACCCGAAGAAGGCGACATGGGCAACTAGCGGAATTAGCCACTGGAGAGGATGAAGTGAAGTCAGAGGCCATACTGTAAGCGAAGATGATGTTGGTTACGGCAAGGAACGCCTTCTGGAAAGAAACCTCGGTGGTCGCATCCACTTGGATATCGTCTGGGGCTTGCACTCCGATCGCGATCATGGTCACCGTGGTAGCTGTCACAATACTGATGCAGGCTGATATATCGTCAGTCGGCTCTGCGGATCAATGGACGAGGGGGAATGCATACACGCCATAGACATCCAATACACTTTGCCCATCGTGCGCGGCAGGGCTCCGATGCAACTCACCACCAATCCAACCACCCCAAAGACAATGGTACAGGTTCCGTGGTTGGTAATGGTGTTGAAGAGCACGGTGAAGGTGAGGATATGGCTGGCCATCAGGAAGATCAAAAACAGGAGCTGACCGATGCCGAATAACTCGCGTCCAAAGCGGCCCATCAGCAGCTCTCCCGCGTCTCCCATGCTATGAATCTGAGGGAACCGGAGTTTGAACTGTCCCATAATGTAGCCGGTATACCACGAGATTGCGGACAATCCGAGAAGCAGAATCACCGATCTGTGTAGCCGTGGTTAGGATGATCATAAAGGCGAGGTTGTTCATGATACACTTACGGGACGATCCCCAGCGTCGCCACGGCTGATGGCAGAGACAGAATCCCGAGGGAAATATTCTCAGCAACCATCACTATTTCTTGTTAGAGCTCCATGGTGGAAATTGGAATATAGGATATACGCTGGAGCCTTACATGTTCCACATTGCCTGCAACCAGGTTAGCTGAGGAAACGGACAAGGAGGGAACGAAGAACGAAGCTTACCACCACGACATGACACGATATTTGACCTCTCCGCATTCTTCATTTCCAAAGGGATCATTTGCCGGCGTCCCATCAGCGTATTCTTTCTTTTCGATAGTGGCATCGTCAGCGGTTGGGTCGTTAACGACGGCAGGGGCCTCGAGATCCCTTGAGACGGTCATGGCGATACTCTGTAGACGACAACAAGAAATCCAAGGGAAACCAAAGTCCAGAATGAAGGAGTATCTGGAGAAGTGAAACGGGGATGAGCCAGATCTTCTAGAAGAAATGCAGGCTAACCGAGGGTTCCTCTTTTCTGGCAATCTTCGGTAGGGTTGATGAGTCTCGGGTTTACTCCATACGTGAGATGTCTACGGAGTTATCTCTGGTTGAGGTTGATATCTGTCAGTCATGGACATTACGTATGAAAAGTCCGATGCTAGCCATCTGCACACACTGAAAAATTTGTGTGCGAGAGAAGGAAATTGCTGAGCTGATCCTCCTGTGCTCCACTGCGCAGTGGAGCATCATCATCGTCCATGGATGATATTGCCGCCTCGGATTGGCCAGCAAACGGTCACAACGAGGTTTCGACATCATCTTTTGCCTCTGGCCATCTGTTGATCTGGCATTTCTGGAACATGTTCTCGGGGCCTCCGCATCCACGAAGGCCATTGAGGGATTTTGATCGCGTAACAAGTACTACTCCAGATTCCTGGGGCAAGACATCATGAACCGGTTAGAAGTTGCACAAGGAGTGAAACCTGGCATGATATCTGGAGTACTCCATGGAGTTACGAACACCCCGCATAGAGAAGAAGCATCTACTGGGGATATCCACGGGGTATACTGAATGGCATATTTGACGATGATCCGACAGAATATCTCGGTATCTCTGCCACTGGCGTAGACTTGACTATCGCAGGAATGGTATATCATCACACACGGCGTTCAAATCCGCCGACCGAAACCATCCGGTATCTCATTATCGGCCATTGTAATATACTACCGAGGAGTCTGCAGTACGTATCATATCGCCTCTTCTGCCTGTGATCCGAGTAGAGTCTCGCAGATAGTCATATTCCGAGATACCGTATGAAGGCTGAAGAAGAGGCTACGGGTCCACTTGGCCGGCTCTCTCCCGGGCCGGGTCCGGTCGGTGAGAACTTAGCAGACCGGGAGGATCAGTTTCTACTTTCATTTGAAGATCATTATTCAGGCTCAATCCCAGAGCCAAGACGAGGGTTGGCGTCTGTGGCGTGGGCAGGATTCAGCCTCGTCACGTGTTCCACTGGTCTCTGTTGTTGTGCAGAGCAGAGCACTATAGCTGGACAGAGATTGGGGATACTCACTCCTTCTGGTCACATTCCAACAAAAATCCCTAGCTACAACCAATGCATTTCTTTGACATTGTGGTTCTCATTAGTCAATACAGAGGATTCTCGACCTCATTCCTGACAAGTCATTGGCCAAGTCTAGGCATGTGGCCCCTCTTACATAACACTTTGCCTGATCAGCACAGTAGATTACCTTAGAATAGGCATCTTTGCATGTCGAGAGGTACTTCTCCAGCTTAATATGCTTTATATTTGTATGCACACTACCTGGAGTATAGAACGGAATCAACTTTAAACCCTAGTCCAACCATCTCTGAGATGTAGAGAGGTAGTCCGATATGTCATGGCTCTACGGCATCCTCGCACAATATATATCTCTCCTCCAGCAAAATGCAGTTGATCATGCACAACCATACCCAATCACTCTGACAGTGGCCATCATCTGACGACCTTGCTAGGACTGATGAGTCTTACTTGAGGTCTATTGGTCTTACCGAATAGCAGCAACGACCACAAAACAACTCCAACTACTGCAGCTCACAGACGTGACACACACAGAATGGCTGACGTCAGGACACGTTACAGGCCATTGTCACAACCACAAGGGGGATGAAAAGACTCCTTCGTGTTGAGACCCCTTGATACTATTTCTTCTCTATTTGTCCATAAGGTAGCACCGTGGTCATTTGGTGAAGCTACCTGATCTCCGGGGCAGCTATATTACTTATTATGGGAGGTGGTGATCGATTTCCCGACCGGCCCTCTGTCTCCCAGCCCCTCCTCCTTCCCTCCTCCTCGCTCATTCATCCCTCTGCGAAGCGACGACATCTTCGCGCTGTGGTCGATCTGGGCAGGTGAGCCATCATTTTCATCGCAATTTTTGTCTTAGCCAACGTGCCAACCTGCTAATCCTGTCCAGCAACGGGATACGATGCTCCGTCTCCGACCTCTCCTCCCCGACCGCGCGCATCCTGCGGACCGTCTACATGCGACGGGTCAACATCTCCCTCTACGACGCCCAGTTTGACGACGATACCGGCTGTCAAATCCCCATCCCGAAGCATGTTATCAAATCGGTAGTCGGTGCGATCGTTCGCTTCCAGATTACGTGTGCGCAGATCGGTGTCCCCTCGGAGAACATCCGCATCATCGCGACCGAAGCCACGCGCACCGCCCTCAATGCGAACGAGTTTGTCGATGCCATCCGACGCGCCACCAACGTCTCGGTTGAGACTCTGCCCAAAGAACTGGAAGGAACAATCGGTGCGTGGGGGATTGCCAGTAGCTTCTCCGACATCGAAGGACTGGCCATGGATCTGGGGGGAGGGAGTATGCAGATGACCTGGATCGTCTCACATGCGGGCAACGTCCGCATCAGCCCCAAGGGCTCGTTCAGTTTCCCCTACGGAGCAGCTGCCTTGACCCAGAAACTCAATGAGCTGCGGAAGGGGAAGTGTCCAGACGAGGCACGTCAGGCGGAGGAGACATTCCGCCAGGAGATGGAGAGCAATTTCCGCAAGGCCTTTGAGCAGCTCGAGATTCCTGATACGTTGGTGGAAAAAGCTCGGACCGACGGGGGCTTCCCTCTCTACCTGTCGGGGGGAGGATTTCGTGGTTGGGGATACCTCTTGCTTTACCTTCATCAGGTTCGCGGACAGTATTATCCAATCTCCATCATCAACGGCTTCTCCGCTCCCAAGGAGGACTTTGAAAACACCGAAGTCCTCAAAAAGGTCGCTCGGACCGCCCGTGACATCTTCCGCGTCTCTGATCGCCGTCGAGAACAGGTCCCCTCCGTCGCATTTCTGGTCAATGTGTTGGCCAAAGCGGTGCCACACGGCATCAAAGAAGCTCACTTCTGCCAGGGTGGCGTCCGCGAGGGCGTTCTCTTCCGAGACATCCCCCCCTTTGTTCGACAGCAGGATCCGCTCGAGGTAGCGACCACCGCATTTGCCCGTCCGTCCGCGCAGGTGATCGCCTTCCTGATGTTTGGTGCCATCCCCGCACGCACCGAGGAGAGGACCTTTCCCGCATCGATCCGCGGGACCCTGATCCAGGCCTTTGCCAATTCGCTGTTTGTGCACGCCGCCATGTCCAAGGAGTTGTCCTCGACCGCTGCGCTGTACAGCACCAGCGCCGGCATCCTCGCGTCCACTTATGGCATCCCCCATGCGGACCGCGCGTGCCTAGCGTTGATGCTGCAGGAGCGATATGGAGGGGAACTGCCCCCGCGGGAGAAAGATTTCAAGTTCCGGTTGCGGGAACTGCTGACCCCCGAGGAAATCTGGTGGATCCGATACTTGGGGAAGCTGGGACTGGTGATCGCCCGACTCTATCCCATTGGAATGATTGACCCGTCCCGACCGCGCATCGCAACTGAGGCACGATGGGCCAGTACTCTGGGCAAACACGGGAATAAGACAGGCATCGAGTTGAAGATCTCGGTACAAAAGGTGGCGTATGACCCCACGCAGTTGAAGTCCGAACTGGAGCAGGATATCCGCAAGATCCACAAGGTAGGCAAGAAGAAGAATTGGATCGGAGGGAGAGACGGCTGGGGGATGAAAGTCAAAGTCGTTGTAGCTGAGGAGGAGATGCTGTGATATCTGAGATATTTCCTAAACAAGCTCACTTCTACTTGCCGTCTGCCAACGTGTGTTGTCGGGGTTACTCGCCGACTGCGGTTACTTCACTGCAAGTTGAGCAAATTCAAGAGATCATCTATAGCTACAATAGCGAAGACAAGTTCGAATATACCCTTTGTGCAATTCAACTTAATTTCTTCAAGAACGTCTCATACGACTGGGAGATGTCAACCCTCCCTTTACTCTCTTACAGCTCCTTGGCCCATCCCTACCAAAAGTCCTCGCCGGCTGCAGTCAAAGCCACATTCAGAGTCCGGAGTCCTCACAGACAAAAGGTCACCGAGAGGAATTGGACCTTGGCAGAGAAGGATGAACACATTGTCCTGTCACAGATTGAATCTAGAATGCATAGTAAATAAAGAGATTATATCACCGGATATGCCTGCTTCCCCGGAAGTATGCCATATCTACAATTCACAAATATTGCCTATGATTGGTCGAAATTGCGTTATGCATTATCTTATGCTGTTCTTACATAATCAGTCTGCTTCCCCGCATAAGCTTCCCCAGACTCCTCGGATCTTCCGCTCCTTCATCAGCCGCGACATCTTGTGCTGTGTGCATCGCATCAGATCTCAAAACAAAATGAAACCAATGAATTCAGTATGAAGACCTCGCCCAATTATGTCAACCTAGCCACCAGTCCTCATCAGTGTTCCATCTGCTTCAAACCCTACAAGCGACGGGAGCATCTCCAACGACATCGCAATTCCCACTCCGCTGACCGGCCCCATCGATGTCCGGCGTGCCCGAGTACCTTTCAGCGAGCCGACGTCTTGCGACGGCACCTCCGAACATGCGACCGCATTATTTCTAGCGCTTATCAGGGAGCGACCCGTAAGCGCGCTTGTGATCGCTGTGCACGTCAGAAAAAAGCTTGCAACAGCGCCCGACCGTGCCAGAACTGTTCCAAGAAGGGAGTGGAGTGCGCATATTCCACGCCGAAGAATGATACCCAGGCGGTCGAGGAGATACCTTCTACATCAGTTCCGCTAGGTGCTGATAGTAGAAATGTGGCAGCAGCAAGTGTTGATCTGTGGACGCCCGGCGCTGAAGACGCCGAGCGGCTGGACAGCACTGGATTCGACAATTTCGCCTGTCCAGACCTCGATCTTCTCCAATACTCCGACCAGACATGGCAAGATTTGTTTAATATAGGTTCAGAGGATCTCTCTCTGGCGAGCGCCGACCGCAACTACTTCTTCCATTTCCTCGACGCTTTCACCAGTCGGACTGGCTTCGTCTCGTCCTTTGAGTGCGGAACACTGGAGCAGAGATTGGATGTCCTGTATACCGTCGAGGAGAAAGAACGGCTCACAGACCCTTTTTGGACCATTAACGTGGACCAATCGAGCAATCTCGATAGCAACAACTCGTACGGGGTCTCATCGCAATGGCTCAATGACCCGCTGGCCTTACAGACACATCAGATTCTCCTTCTAATAAAGGAGGTCGTCATGATAAAGCCGCGTAATAGCTGTGTGACCATCTCATGGTCTCAGGACATCGAGCAACGATGTCTGCAGTTCTTCTCTCCTACGAGTCTCCGGAAGTATATTGAGCTCTACTGGTCGATCTGGTCTCCAAACGTGAACTTTCTCCATCGACCAAGTTTCGACCCAGCGAGTTCCAAGCCAATTCTTCTGGCGTCTATGGCCGTCATTGGTAAGGCAGACTCTCCCCCATCTGACCATAGCCGGTGCTGATTCAAATAAATAGGCGCCTGTGTTTCGCCAAACCTTGAAGATAACGACAATGCTCGGATGTGGTTCAATTGTGTAGAAGAGGCCGCTTTTGCCAATGAGGACTTCAATCGCGATCCAGTCTCGCCTTTTCACCCTGTTCGTGACAGACAAAAGATGCAAGCTCTGCAGGCCGCTTACATGGTCTGCTTGTACCAAAATTGGGAAGGCACTGATGCCAGCAAGAAGCGCATTCGCAGACATCGCTTTAGCACCGTCGTTTCGGTAAGCCGCCAGCCCAGAATTACGGGTGATTTACTGATCAATACCAGACCGTTCGTGATCTTGATATCGCAACAGCGCGACATGTCGACTACAACGCGAAGCACAGGGATGAGTTTGACTGGAGCGATTTTGTCGCTAGGGAAGAGTTGATCAGGTATTGTCACCCGAAGCGGACGTTTCAGAGATTGCAAGTTAACCCTCCTGCTAGGACTTTTATCTGGGTCTTTCTGCTGGATACAGCGTTTGTCACCTTCAACAATTTGCCGCCACGCATGGTCGTTAAGGAAATGAAGATGCATGTGGCGGCCCCCGAGTCTTGTTTCCAAGCACCTACGGCCGATCAGTGTTACGATGAAATTCGGAATTGGATGCCTTCTGCAAGCCTCCGTTGGAAGTTTTCCTTCCGTGCACTGTTCGAGACCCTGTGCATAGACGACCTGACAGTGAAGATGCAGCAAGCCGTGGCAGCCCTGGGTCCCTTGAACCTCTTCACGATCATCTCTGGTCTGTACCCTTTTCACAGCGGGACTCTCATCTCCCAAATACTGACATTCCCAGGCATTCACTCCTTGGTATTCCAATACCAGAGTTTCTTCAGCGCAGGACATCTGCTCCTACGGACTCACACCGCGCTGCAAAACTTCAAGCATATTTGGCACCTCTATGAAACCACAATAATTGGGCAGTTGCCGCATACGACAGTGGATGAAAGCAATTTGAACGCAGATAACATGTGGCAGAGAGTGGGATTCTGTCGCCACGCGGGCGATTTCTGGCTTCTTGCAAGTGTCAAAGTCGACCGACTGTCTGTTGCGGAGGCAGAGCAGCACAAGGCAATCAGAGGAGAACTTGTGCTAGAAGGCAGCGAACAGAGTGACCCGATTTTGTCGCAATACGATCAAACGAGTATGCGCCAAGTCAATGAACTCATTTCGGAATTCCAAAGAGTGCACCTCGGCGACATGCCCACCGCTGTGGATTGACCGACTCAACCACTTCTATTACACTGAGTGAACTATAATCTGCTGTTCCAACATAGTCGCTGAAATATGCCACCATATTGCGACCAATGGTGATCTCCTAATCCACAAGTGGGATGTACTGAGCTTCATCCCACCCCCATCCGATCCCCCACCTCCTCTCCGACCTGGGGTTATCCCACTCGATAACCGATAATCAAACCCCGGATTTCACATCTATAAATTACGATTATGGATTATGCCTCACTGCGGTGCTACTCCTGGACATTGATTAATTTAGCCAAGTCAGACGCGAGGCGTATATCGGATACCATGCTGCCTTTAGCGCTCCTTGGGGCTGTCGGAGCCCTTGTCTTTCTGGTGTTTCGTCTGCTATCCATAGGCCAACGGCCCAAGAACTACCCTCCTGGACCTCCCACCTTACCTCTCATTGGTAATATCCATCAGGTGAGATCATACGCTGTTCATATAGTCTCTGAATGCCGTACTCATAGCCGGCAGATGCCCACTCGCGATGCCCATCTGCAGTTCCAGAAGTGGGCACAAGAATACGGGCCCGTCTACAGTCTGATTCTCGGGACCAAAACCTTGGTCGTACTGTCAAGCGATCAGGCTGTCAAAGACCTGCTGGATAAGCGAAGTGCGATGTACTCGCACAGACAGGAGATGTACATCGGCCAAACGCTATGCAGCGGAGGCCTTCGATTGCTTATGATGGTAGGCCTTCGATGGCCCGAACACTAAGTGCACCGGTAGTGCTGACTCAAGCTAGGGATACACCCCAGTCTGGCGAGGAGTATGTGCCATTGAATCGCCCATTAGAGTCATGAGGCTGACAAATTACAGTTTCGAAAAATGGTTCATGGCCCCCTCAACGTGACCGCTGCCAAGTCTTATGTTCCTTACCAGATGCTCGAGAACAAACAGATGATGTATGAGTTTCTCACTCAGCCAGACCGGTTCCTATACAGCATTCGTCGCTACTCCAATGCTCTTACAACGACTATGGTTTTTGGGTGGCGCACGCCGACCTACAAGGACGAGAAAATGAAACAGCTTTTTGACGGCTTCTCTGAGTTTGCCGAGATAAACCAGACGGGAACAGCCGCCCTTATTGATTTCTTCCCGTGGTTGAGAAATCTGCCGGACTTCCTACTCCCGACGCAGAAGAGGGCCAAGGAACTCCACCAGCGGGAAAAGGCTCTGTACGTGGGTCACTGGCTGCGAGCAAAGCAGGATATCCGTGACGGAAAGATTAAGCCCTGCTTTTGTGTCGGTCTGGCCGAGGCCCAAAAGTCAGACGGATTCAGTGACGACCAGGCTGCGTACATCTCTGGAACATTGTTGGAGGCCGGTTCCGACACCACCTCCAGCACTCTGTATGCGTTTGTTCAGGCGATGCTACTCTTCCCTGACGTGGAACGCAAGCTTCAAGAGGAGATTGACCGCGTCGTGGGACCCCGCATGCCCACCATGGATGATGAGCAGGACCTGCAGTATGTTCGCGCTTGCATGAAAGAGACCCTGCGCTGGATGCCGACGACCATTCTCGGGGCGGTGCCGCACGCCGTCACACAAGATGACGAGTACATAGGTTACCACATCCCAAAAGGCGCTGGCGTCTTGAACAATGTGTGGACCATCAACATGGACGAGAAGCGTCACCCCAACCCGCGGGTATTCAACCCCGACCGGTACAAAGATGATCGCCATACCTTGGCTGAAGCAGCCGCCAACCCCGATGCCACCAAGCGCGACCAGTTCACGTTTGGTGCGGGTCGCCGAATTTGCCCTGGAATCCACATTGCCGAGCGCAGCCTGTTCTTGGGAATCTCGCGCATGATGTGGGCGTTCAATGTGGAGCCAGCGTTGGATGAAAAGGGGCGGCCCATCTTGCCTGATGCAGATCGTTTGACCCAAGGGTTTGTCTGTATGCCAGAGGAGTTTCCTGCTCGCATTACGCCACGGTCGCAGGCCAAGGCGGATATGGTCATCAAGGAATGGAAGGAGGCAGAGCAAGAATGCTTGGATCCAGAAACTAAGCAGTGGTTGCTCTCGCCAGTGAAATGAGGAGTTGGCGACTTGTGATACCTTGTCTTTATGATCTACGAAATGGTTTATGGATTCTCTCGATGTGATGTATGCTTATCTGCTTGTACTTATTCCGACACCTGATACAAACTCTGATCTTGCGCACGTCCCTCTTTACAATGAACCTCACAGGACATACAAATAATCAGTACCATGCCAATCATCTGCCATCACTTAATCGACGTGTTCGGTAACGGCCTCGTTCACTTTTTCGACATCATTATCTCGAGGAGGCATCTCGGGTCCCTTGGTTTTCCTCGCTTGCAAGACCCCAATTTCAGCAAGACCGACTCCCTCTAAACGGAGCTTTTCCAGGTACTTGGCCGCCTCTGCTTCCTCCTCCCTTTCTTCAGCGGACATCTCGGGACCCCAGAAGAGGAAGAACAGTATATATGCCCAGACGGCTCCCAGGAATATTGCCATAACCTTGCCGTAATCGAATCGCTTCTTATTAGCGGCAGTAGGGGGCAAAGGATACCGTGAACCGATCGTCGACTGGATTGTAGCCGATGCAGACGAGGCAAGGTTTCCGAGTTGATACGTCAATCCGACGAGAAGGGAGCGAAGCGCAGGGGGATTCACTTCCATCAGATGGATTGGGATAGGCCCCCAGACACCACCGACACAGAACTGCTCCCAGAAGACAGTAGCGATCAAGCTCATGTCGCGGGGCAGAACGTACACCGGAACCAAGGCACCCCCAATAACGCAGGTTACCATCATGGTCAAGCGTCGGCCAAAGAAGGTACTAATGTAGCCGAAGAAGTTGGCGCCGACAAAGGCCCCGGCTTGCCCCACGACCGTGATGACCGTGACTTGGGTTGGTTTGAGACCAACCTGGTCTTTTAGAAAAGTGGGATAGAAGTCCTGGCTTCCATGAGAGCAGGAGTTGAATCCCGTCATCAGGACGACGAGGTAGATGAACAGCACCCAGTTCTCTTTCAACGCTGTGCCCGAGTCTTTCAGGAACGACCGAAGGCCCATAGCGCGGACATGGTCGTCCTCTGCGTGAGCCTGCCGGATGCGCTCCTCGCGCTCGGCAACCATGACCTGGAAGTGATTGGTCTCGGGGAGCATCCAGCGGAACAGGATGATGAGGACTGGGGGAGCAGCGCCAAACCAGAACAGGCTCCGCCAGCCGTGGGTAGTGGTGGGGACCAGGGCCCGGTAGAATGCGGCTGCTAGGAGGTATCCAATGGCGTATCCCATCTCGAAACAGCCTGATAGTACTCCACGAGCATCGTAAGGAAGGTCCTCGAGAGCGGTGGCCGCAGCCGGGCCGAAGAGACCTAAACAGAGTTGTCAACAGGATGGCAAGGGATATGGTCTATCAGGGCGATCATACCTCCCATCGCTATTCCGTATAGAGCGCGGACACCGAGAAACTGTGGCAGAGTCTGACAGAATCCAGACGCAAGCTCCAGGACTATAAAAGCTGACAGTGTGATTATGAACGGCCATTTTCTTCCGTATCTATCCGAAAAGAAACCAGAGATCAAGGCGCCGACTGATCGAAGCATCAGAGTGATGGTGATGCCCTAGCAGAGAGCAGCAAATGTCAGTGGTCTGCTTTGAACAGCTGAATGAGGACTGGCTTTACCCAGGTAACACTGGTGACGGAGACGTCAAAGTCTTTTGCAATCTCAGTCACCGTCATGGACACGGTGAAGAAATCGAATGAATCCCAGGTCCATCCCAAGAAGCCAACAAGGAACATGAGCCATTGGTGGGAGGTCAGTTCCCGCAGAACGGAAATAGGATTGCGGATTTTGTTCTTGGAATATTTCAGCTAATATCAACCCGGATATAATGGGGAATAAGCGTCCTACCCTTGGAGGTTTGAGACTGGTGAATCGAGTGACGATGTACCGGCGTATCTGGCTCGAGGAGTAGAACCACCCCGCGGCCATATGGTTCCTCATGTTGATAGATTGCGCAGTCAAAGGTGATTTTCAGGCCAGGTCGGATTAGCGCAGACTCAGCACGGAGAATGACAAGCAGGGATAAATCTGCGTTTAAATCCTCTCATCACTCCGTGCGGACAGTCTGCACGCATCATGGTAAAGTCAGTCAATCTCCTTCCTATTCGGTATACAGACTCCTACACTCTGTGACGGCGACGAATGAGCCCTCTACGTGAGCACTAGTCCCTATGGAACTGTCAAGCAAAAGAAGCTCAGATACCAAGGGGCCAAACCTAGCCACATCCCTCATTCCGAGGTATTTTCGACGGTACTTACCCCGGACCTTCCAGAGTTTCCCGCCTTTTCTCCATCCTGATTGCCATAGAATGCGGGGTAATGAGCTGTGAACCAATCCATTCGCCCATGTTCGAATCGTGGCTTAAGAAGCGACGGCGATATACCCACTACCGCAACCTTATCCCACTTTTGCCTATCGCTCTCCACCACGTAAAATGGGGTCGGTTTCAGCTCAGAGCTGCAATTCGCTTGATGGGGGTAGCAAGCTCTCTTGGCTTATCGGGCAGGTTACATCTCTGCACAGCAGAGGCGGCCTTCAACCTAGCTCGGTTGCCCCGCACGACCTTGCGGGTGATATCATTCGAGGAGGAGGAGTAACTTTATAGCAGAGTATTGGATATCATTGGCGGGCAACCTGCAAGGCCCGCAGCTGAGGTATCCTACTATGAGCCACGAGAACGTCCATCTAGGCACTCGGACGATATAATATGAAGCTAATGTCTCTCAAACCGCTTTGACTTATTGCCAGTGTCTAGACCTTGGGCAACTCAGATAGCGACGTCCATGCGTCTCACTCTTGCTGGTGCCTGGATCTAGCCTCACTGACCATTGAGCTTTTCATAGCCGACAGCATCATGGCGACACCGAGCCAGTCAAAGCAGACATGGCGTCCCTTGTTGTAGCTATGTCTGCATGCTCAGACCCATCTGATCTGGCTGTTATCGGAGGAAAATACCAGAAAAATGGTTATTGGCGGGGATAGCGCAACAGCTGGCGACTGTAGGGTGCGTCGTAGTGCATGATGCAATGAAGCTACTGTTAACTACAGAGAATAACCGGTTGAATGATCTCACTTTGGTATGGCTTGATCCTCGTCTATCCAATGTTCTAATACCAAGTGTAATAAACGTATCGCGGGACCAACCATTTGCACGTAGGATGGACGGGATTCACTGGGGAGGGTGGCCATGCTGTCGCAGAGATATACCAGTCGGCAACGAGGCCAGAGTTGCCTGTGTCATGGAACTAGTTATAGGGCGAGAGGCGAACGCCTACACGGTCAGCCTGATGGCCTCGGACATCGCCTCGATGACTTCGAGGACAAAGCGGCAGCGGTTAGCGATGGAGTGTCTGTCATCGTCGGTCCGGATGTTGACGTCGTCATGGAGGAACTGGTCGAGGATATATCGTTCACCCCTGACGGGTCTGCTGGACTCAAACCAATGCACGCTCTAGGCAGAGAGATACCATTGATCTCAATCCCATCGACAACGGCTTCGATGGCTGGCTTCGATGGCTGGCTTCGATGGCTGGCTTCGATGGCTGGCTTCGCCGGCGTGTTGTGTTTGGTCCATCCAGGGTCGTCCCACTGATTCGAATATCACTCGAGATGAGGTCGACGGGCATAAATGAAGGAGGGAACGATTGCTCGTCCGACATTCAGAGCTGGCAGAAGGTTAAGGCTCCTTGCCATGAACTACATCGATCACTTTTTCCATGTTTGTATCTGATAGAGAGGAAAGACTGCAGGGATTCCGGGATTCCTGCTGTCTATACCGGCGACTCAGTCTACATTCACCGTACTTACAGATAGTACTTACAAGACGACTCGTGGGGCCAGCTTCAGTGAGCATCAATCGTGCCGGGGATGCGCACTGGGCGTAGTATTCCAGATCCATGTCATTGGGGGCATAACCACCTTTCAGCTCAACAGAAGATCGCAACCAAGTTCAGGGAAACAGCTCACAGTTAAAGAGGCTTGAAGAGGGCATCAATAGTTGAAAGAGAGCCCATACTGTTGTCGAAGACTACCAATGGAGTGGCAATCTCGTTTGGTAGTAATACCATTTCATCGAGGTCATCCAGTAGTATTCATATGATCATCTCTTACATATTATTCCTCATACATGAGCAATATAACCACCATCCATGCCGTGCACCTGCTGTTTATAATCGAGAATAGAGGTTGCCATTTGATTTGGCGATACTTTAAGTATTTAATTCTACTGCCTGCTTTCGGAACTGGAGGAGGGGTAATTGTGGCGATATGCAGGATGGCAGATGATACGCCAACAGCATCAGCTCCTTTCCGTATGCATGTATGCGCTGGCACTACCTTATCGGCCTGTGTAACCTGCCGACAGTCAGATAAACTGTGTATTTTCTGCTGTGAATTATTCGTGAACGAACTGATGTTTCTGCACTCGAAGAATGATGACCCAAGTCAACTACCCGGATCCCGCGCTACAAGAACTGATCCGCCCCATCTCCTCCACGCTTTCCTTCTATCTCAACGGGACAAGGATAGACCTACAGAATCCTAACCCGCATTGGACATTACTGGACTTTATTCGATCCCAGCATGGCTTGAAAGGTACGAAACTGGGATGCGGTGAAGGTGGATGTGGAGCCTGTACCGTTGTCTTGCAAACACGCGACATTCGGAATCCCCGACGAATTCGACATTTGGCCGTCAATGCATGCTTGTATCCATTGATCGGGGGTAAGCATAAGAATCTGTTCCAAAGACGATACTCATAGTGACTTGGCAGTGGCTGGCAAACATGTCATTACCGTGGAAGGACTGGGCAATGTCGACCATCCCCATCCTTTACAGGAGCGGTTGGGCAAGTTGCATGCTTCTCAGTGCGTCTTCGGCGCAAATAGGGACAGAAAGGCGGACGCTAATAGTGTAGATGTGGTTTCTGTACGCCCGGCATCGTCATGTCGCTGTATGCCCTCATCCGCAACGCTTTCGACCCCGATACTCTCGAGTTCACCCTGTGCGAGGATGACATAGAGATGAAGGGCCATCTGGATGGGAATCTCTGTCGATGCACTGGATACAAGCCCATCTTACAAGCAGCCAAGACGTTCATCCAGCAGGATCTGCAGCTTCCGTTACGCCCGTCCGAAAGATCCAGTCCCACCGCATCCGGCAACTTGACTATCTCCCCTGACTCGTACAAGCAGAGCAGCGGAAAATCTTGCGGGCGTCCAGGGGGCTGCTGTCGTGATACCCCTGGGTCATCCTGTTCATCCAGTCCGAGTAGTTATGGTCAAAGTTCGCGGACCAGCATGTCATCCCAGGTAGGACCATCGGCACCCCAATTCGAATTCATTCCATACACACCGAGAACAGAGCTCATCTACCCTCCTGGCCTGTCCAAACACATTGATCTTCCTTTGTGCTATGGCAACGAACAAAAACTCTGGATACGTCTTACCACCCTTGAGCAGCTGATCCAGATCAAGACGGCATGCCCATCGGCCACTCTGGTCAACGGTGCCAGTGAGGTGCAGGTGGACATTCGCTTCAAGGACGCGCACCATCCAGTGTCGATATTCATCGGAGATATCAAGGAGCTAGCGAGTATCAGCACCGTGTCGACGGCTGGACACGTATCTGAGCTGGTCATTGGCGGCACTGCCTCCTTGAACGACATTGAAGCCGAATGTCACCGTCTCATTCCTTTGCTGCAGTCTCAGGCGTCAGTTATACAAGCCATCGCCAAGGCTCTGCGATACTTTGCCGGTCGCCAGATCCGTAACGCGGCCTCTCTGTCCGGAAATATTGCTACTGCTTCTCCTATCTCGGACTTGAATCCGTTGCTCCTGGCAGTCAATGCAACGGTCGGCTCGCGCACAACACAGGGTGAACATTTGCAGTCCATGGACTCTATGTTTCTTGGGTATCGCAGGACGGCACTACCGGAGGGAGCAATCATCACCCAGATTCGCATTCCAATCCCGTCGCCGCAGGTACGCGAGATCACCAAGTCCTACAAACAGGCCAAACGCAAGGATGATGATATCGCCATTGTCACAGCCGGTTTCCGCGTGAGGCTAGACAACCATGCAGTAGTTCAAGAGGTTACTCTAGTGTACGGGGGCATGGCTCCTACTACCGTCCTCGCATCAAGTGCCGGCAAGTCTCTCATCGGTAAGCCTTGGGGAGATACAAAGGTCCTGGACGAAGCATTGGACGCCCTTCTGGTTGATTTCACCCTCCCATACAGTGTTCCCGGTGGCATGGCTACGTATCGACGGACTCTAGCACTATCGTTCCTTGTGCGGTTCTGGAACGATGTCCTCTCTGACCTACAGATCGGAGGCAAGGTCGACACAGATCTTACGGAAGAGATCCACCGGAAAGTCTCCCACGGCACGCGCGACAACAGAAATCCCCATGAGCAACGGGTAGTCGGCAAACAGATCCCCCATCTATCCGGGTTAAAGCACGCAACCGGGGAAGCTGAGTATGTGGACGACATGCCGCCGCAGCACCGCGAACTATTCGGCGCGATGGTGCTTTCCCAACGTGCTCATGCCAGGATCATCTCGGTCGATTGGACGCCAGCACTGCAACCCGGTTTGGCGGTAGGATACATCGACCATCACAGCATCCCTGCGGAGGCGAATGCCTGGGGTTCTGTCAAGCGTGACGAACCGTTCTTCGCCGTTGATGAGGTTGTGGCTCATGGGCAGCCCATCGGCATGGTCTATGCGGAGACCGCGCTGCAAGCTCAAGCAGCCGCCAAAGCCGTTCGCGTGATATACGAGGATCTTCCAGCGATTCTAACCATTGATGAAGCGATTGCTGCTCGAAGCTTCTTCCCCTATGGCAAGGAGCTGAGGAAGGGTGCTCCTCCGGAGAAAATGCAGGAGGTGTTTGCTCAGTGCGACCGGGTCTTCACCGGAACGACGCGTGTAGGCGGGCAGGAGCACTTCTATCTCGAGACCAATGCAGCGCTGGTGATCCCACATTCGGAGGACGGGACGATGGAAGTCTGGTCCTCGACGCAGAATACAATGGAGACACAGGAATTCGTCAGCCTGGTCACTGGAGTGCCGAGCCATCGCGTCAACGCCCGGGTCAAGCGCATGGGAGGGGCCTTTGGCGGCAAAGAATCCCGCAGCGTGCAGTTGGCCTGTCTGCTGGCCATCGCAGCCAAGAAGGAACGACGACCCATGCGGGCGATGCTCAATCGGGACGAGGATATGATGACCACAGGCCAACGGCACCCGGTGCAATGCCGGTGGAAAGTGGGCGTCATGAACGACGGCCGGCTAGTTGCCCTGGACGCGGATTGCTACAACAATGCCGGCTGCTCGTTGGATTTGAGTGGCGCTGTAATGGACCGCTGCTGTACGCATCTGGACAATTGCTATCACTTCCCCAATGTGCATATCCGCGGCTGGGTCTGCCGCACCAATACCCACAGTAACACTGCTTTCCGCGGGTTCGGCGGTCCCCAGGCCATGTTCATAGCGGAGAGCTACATGACAGCGGTGGCAGAGGGCCTCAATATTCCGATTGATGAGCTGCGCCGGCGGAATCTCTATGAGCAAGGGCAACTGACGCCATTCCTGCAGCAGATCGACGAAGACTGGCATGTGCCATTGCTCATGGACCAAGTGCGACGGGAAGCCCGGTATGACGAACGACGCGCGGCCGTGGACAAATTTAACGCGCAGCATAGATGGCGGAAGCGAGGGATCTGTCTCATCCCGACCAAGTTCGGTCTGTCTTTTGCCACGGCCATCCATCTCAACCAGGCCGCCGCGTCTGTTAGGATCTACGCGGATGGATCAATTCTGCTCAATCACGGCGGCACAGAGATGGGCCAAGGTCTCTACACCAAGATGGTGCAGGTTGCCGCCGAGGAACTAAGAGTCCCTATTGAGAACGTCTACACGCAAGATACCTCGTCGTATCAGACAGCAAATCCCTCACCAACTGCCGCATCATCCGGAAGCGATCTTAACGGGATGGCGGTCAAGGACGCCTGTGATCAACTCAACGAGCGCTTGAAGCCGTATCGCGAGAAGTTTGGCCCAGACGCGCCCATGTCTACGATTGCGCATGCTGCCTACTTTGATCGAGTCAACTTGACAGCAAGCGGGTTTTGGAAAATGCCCAAGATCGGGTACCAGTTGGGCAACTACGATCCGAAGACGGTGAAGCCGATGTACTACTACTTCACGCAGGTATGTCGAATGGCCCTCTCGACAGACAATGCTAATCATGTAGGGCGTTGCATGCACCGAGGTAGAACTGGATCTTCTAACAGGCGACCACACCGTCTTACGCACCGATATCAAGATGGATGTGGGACGATCTATTAACCCTGCCATCGACTATGGCCAGGTCGAAGGGGCATTTATCCAGGGACAAGGACTTTTCACAATGGAAGAGTCTCTATGGAGCCGGAATGGACAGCTGGCCACTCGTGGGCCTGGTAACTACAAAATTCCCGCTTTTGGAGACATTCCCCAGGAGTTCAATGTGAGTTTCCTGCAGGGGGTCTCATGGCAGCATCTTCGGTCTATCCAGAGTAGCAAGGGATGTGGTGAGCCGCCTCTGTTCCTTGGATCGACCGTGTTATTCGCTCTACGGGAGGCGCTGAAAAGTGCCCGTGAAGATCACCAGGTGCTGGAACCTTTGGTATTGGACAGTCCGGCGACTGCAGAGAGGTTGCGCCTCGCTGTGGGAGATCCGTTAGTTAAGAAGGCAACGGTTAAGGCGAAAGACGGCGAGACTCCTTTCTTTGTATCAGTGGCATAAGTGCGGGAGAGATAACAGCTACATTGTCTACGTATCTGCCACTATATCAGGAACGATGAATAATACTCCTCTACCCAGTCGGCAGCTTTGTCTCCTTCTTTCCCGCTCCATAAACTCAGAGATCCCACATATCCATCCGGTCGAACATTGATGACGGCGGCTTGATCACTATCCAACTTTCCCACCCACTTGTCCGTACAGGGCTTCTCATACGCATCATCCAGATATAAGGTCCATCGGCTCTGCTGCAGGACGTCCGGCAGATCACTGATCTCAAACTCTAATTTCGATGACTTTGTGACAAGAGACAGTGTGAGAAGATGGGAAACAGTTGTATATCTTTGTGGCTGAATGTAATCATCAGACGCTGCCTTCCCTCGCGGTTTCTCGTTATATGACTGTTGTGCTCGAGCAGATACCCGACCCAATACCGACTTGGAGTCCTTGAACCGTGCACAAAATGCATCAAGGAATCTCTTCATGGACGTTAAGTCTGGAACCAATACGTAGATTCGAAACTGCCCCAGCATCGGAATATCCAGCTGGATATCGACCGGATTCACATCGATATATCGAGTCACCTTTGCCGGTACTAGTAGCGCCCCAGGGCGGAGCGCTCCGTTAGTGACTGGATCAGATTGAACCTTTGTCAACAGGTCCCTTGAATACTCTGCGCCGACTCCCGAGATGAAGCGGATATTGTCATCGAAATTCTTGGCCAACGCGGCCTCACCTTGCTCAAAGGCGCTGCAGTGCTCTGCATCGAACCGAATGAGATCCATAGCAATCTTACGGCGCTCATCTTCATATGTGGCCAGCAGTGACTTTTTGGCCAGTCCGCGACAGACCAGATTGAGCTTCCAGGCGAGGTTGAAGCTGTCGTGCATGCTTGTATTGGCTCCTTGGGCGGCGAGCGCAGAGTGACAGTGTCCAGCCTGAGGATATCAGTATGCCTTCATGATCGAATGAATGGTACAACACATACATCGCCAGCAATGAAGATTTGCATCTCCTCGTCGTTGAAGTGACTGGCAACTCGTTGGCCGACCACGTAGTTCCCGAACCATTCTATCTTGTCAACTTGATTCACGACTCTATCCGCCAGAGACGTACCAATTGACTTCCACTCTAGCTTGAATGGTGCCATGGCCTTCTTGGCCAGGGCCATAACATATTCTGGCGTTGCTTTGGCCTTGTCTACTCGCTCTCCTTCAGTGGAGCTCAATTCGACGTATAACCGTGTCATATTGCGCTCACGAGGGATCCACAGAATAGAGCCTACCGAATGCGATCGAACAGCCACTTTGCTCCAGAGGTCCGGAAAGTCGGTATCAATGACCCCTGCATAGTCGGTATCAGTGCTCACCGAAGCAACCGGGGAGGATACTAACCATCTAACACACCCCAGGAAGCGTTCGTTATTTCTCCTTCGAGCTTCGCACCGGGAATGAAATCGCGTACTTTGGAACGCGCTCCGTCACATCCGACCAGGTATTCCGAGCTAATCGCCCTCTCCGTCTTTGTAGATAGATCTTCGTAGGTGATAGTCAACTGTTGCCGGTCTGGGCTACGCGAACAAGATACAAAGCGGCTGTTGCGAGTAACCCGCACTCCGCGTGCTTCGATATCCACAATGAGCACCTCTTCTATTATTCCTTGATGTGCCAGAAGAATATACGGATCTGCCGCTCCCACCAGATGATCTGGGTAGTGTATCTGTCGACCCTTTCGGTGCAGCGGGGTGTTTTCGGTGGATTCCTACTCAGTCAGTTTACAACACTTCTTGCGGGACGAATCATACCCAGAACGATATATCGTACACGCGGACACCATTGCGAAGTAGTGAATCAGCTAGCCGGAGCTGCTTGAATGTCTCGATGGTCTTGGGCTGCATGCCATCCGCCTTGCCGGCTGATGTCTTGTCAGGACGGTCATCGAGGATCACGACGGGAATTCCGTAGCGGACCAGATTGCACCTATTACTGTGAGACATGATTCAATAATGAGAGAGTTGGCTCACGCCAGCATCAGTCCAGATGGACCAGCGCCCACGACCACTACAGTCGTGGAGGCATCAGGGGGAGGGTGCGCCATGAAGCTGTCGTGATCAGACAATCGGATGCTCTGAGACCTCAGTTGTACCTTGTCTGATTATTTAGGTAGGTGCAGTCTATTGTGATAGATCCTAGTAATTCTTCTCCGCATTCCAATAGTCTACTCAGCAGCTGCGGATGGGCTGATCGGGTGCTCGCCCAACCCCCACTTTGCTCATCGCATCATGGCCCCTCTTCTTCATGCTGTTCTATTTCTCTACCATAGATCTAAACTCCCTGCCGACTTCCTGACCGTCTGTACGCGCTCATCGCTGGCCGGGAAAAAAACACCCTCATGATGTCTCCAGTTCCACCACTCTCCCATTCATCGCTTCCTCTTCAGCATGCCAGTAAATGGGGAATGATCATCTTCCAAGTGAGCAATATGCTGGACAGGGTTCCAAACTACACATGCTCTCATCTCGGTACGCACATATCCCAGCGAAATAGAATTAACTCTAATCCTTCACTCCGTCGGCAATCATCACCTTCTACCCTTTTCTCAGATCATGCTACATATGGCGCCACTTCTTTTGCAATCACAGACCCTTGAAGCCACAGTCTGCATTGCATAACTGACTCCGAACGGCCACGTGGCTGGCCATACTGGCACCAGCACAATACCCTCATACTGTGTCTATTGGCGATCATCGTAAAGCACGTCTCAGTACATTACCCTACAGCGGACTCCGTGTTCCTCATATGTAAATTCGAGAAAATGGAGACGGTGGTTGATGCCCGCACCAGCGCATTCTCGAAGTCGTGGAGGGATTATTCAAGGAGTCATCCACCCTGTCGTAAATCAGTAATGAGCTGTGCTGCTGCAGGAGAGCCAACCCCTTACTTATAGTAGGGAGTCCGGCTGTGCTCCTGTTGGGTGCTGTGAAATACCTCTTCCGGCTCAATGACATCAACTTGAGATAGCCACGTCAGCTCTGCTTCGGCCAATCCTCGAGCGTCCTCATGCAGCTCCCATCACCAGAGCAGTTCTCCTTGGGGAGACACAGATCAGTTGGTGAGACTGGTCGGATAGTGGATTGTGAGGGGTATGGCGCCCCCGAGACATGTTAGTATACATCGTAGATGATGTGAATCGATCTTCATGTTCAGTCCATCTGTTGGCCATTTGGTTCAGCCTTTCGAGAGATAGCAGCGAGTTTGGAGAATATGCAGTATATCTGCAGGGTAACGCAGACCACACCATCTTCGACTTCCAAATGCCCCAGGGTCAAATTTATCAAACCACATATACTGCTATACAAGTCGATGCATTGTAACAATGAAAATAAATTCACTGAGCTCAAGTCTATACATTCTACATTCAAACCATACGAGTAAATATGGCACCACCCATCCATATCAAGCAGAAGGAAACCCGCGTAGAGTCGTGTAGACTGCAGGTACGTCGCACTCCACGCCTGCTCTACTTCACCTCTAAGCACCCCTAGATCATCATCATCGGAGCCGGTCTCGCCGGCCTAGGAGCAGCCATCAGTTCCCTTCTAGCCGGCCACGACGTGCACGTCCTCGAATCCGCCCATGGAGTCGGCGAAGTAGGCGCCGGCATCCAAGTCCTCCCCAACAGCTCCCGCGTCCTGCAGCACTGGGGTCTGGAAGATGCGCTGACGCCCTACATGACCCGCCCGCGTGTCTGCAATTTCCTCGGCTGGAAGGGCAATCTCATTTCCTCGTTGGACTTCCACGAGTCCGAGAAGCAGTACCCCGGCACCTGGTATCGGGACTTTCACCGCGCGGACCTGCACCGCTGCTTGCTAGATCGTGCGCTGGAGCTCGGAGCGCAGTTCACGTGCAATGCGCGCATTGTCGATGTCCGGGTGAGTGTCGACGAGGCGACCGCCACGGCAATCGCTGCCGACGGGCGAGAATGGACGGGGGATTTGGTCATTGGCGCCGATGGAGTGTTTGGGACCTTGGTGGAGAAGCTGCTGGGTCATCCCGAGCCGCCCATCAAGACGGGCGATTTGGCGTACCGGCTGCTTTTGTCCACAGAAGAGATGCTCAAGGATCCCGAATTGGCAGGCTTCGTAACAGATCCACAGGTCAACTACTGGCTTGGACCGGATGCGCATGCGGGTGAGTTCCGTCGGTCGATGCAGTACGGACTACGCTCACCGTTCAGTGAATTATGTCCTGCGAGGCGGCGAAAAATTCAACATGGTCTTGCTGGTGCCGGACGATATCCCTGAAGACTGGCTGGCATCGACGGTGGAAGGCAACGTGCAGGAGATGTGCGCCCTATTCGAAGGGTGGGATCCACGGTAAGCGCTTTGTCCTCGTGATAAAGACCTAGCTCATGGTCAAAGAATCCAGAAGCTGCTCAAACTATGCCAATCCGTCTACAAATGGCGACTATGCATACGCTTTGGCGACCACGAGTGGACGCATCCATCAGGGTCATGGGTCATGATAGGCGATTCGGTCCATGCCACACTTCCCTATCTCGCCTCAGGGTATGCAAACCTCTATTGACATTTCAATTCCGTCTAACAGAATGCAGGGCAGGTATGGCCTTTGAAGACGGAGCTGTCCTTGGCGAATGTCTGTCGAGACTTCCAAACAGCCCGACTACGAAGACCTCCCCCGAGTACCTGCAAAGCAAGCGCCATGCACTGTCTGTTTTTGAAAGGTGTCGTAAGCAGCGGACGAAAATGGTCGTAGACCGTGGAAATGTGCAACAATACCTCTATCATCTGCACGATGGTCCTGAACAGGAGGACAGAGACCGCAAGATGCAGATGGTTCCAACCCCTGAGGGTGAGGCCCTGGCCTGGAGAGATCCAGGTCTAGCGCCTAAGCTGCTGGGATACGATCATATTGCAGATGTAAGTCGGGCAGAAAGTAGTAGAATCAGCACCAAACCATGAACTGACTGAAACAGGTTGATCTAAATTGGAACGTGGAGGAAGAGAGTGAAGGAATAGCAGTCTCTAGACTATGACATTTCATACACATTATAAATCACAAATGCAATCATTCAGGTCGTAGTACATCATTAATCAATGTAATGGCAGAACAGGAAGTATGTGAATCGTGATAGTCGTCAAAAGTGAATGTTGACCCCATGGAGGCGAAAGACATCATGGGATGAAAAAGCAGAGTTCCCCCTATGCAAGGTAATGAAGGACAGTCGGGTACATGAGACATAACACATTAAGTCATCATAACAACGTCGCGTTAAAGAAAGTTGATATTAAGATGGGTCGGGAGATCAAGCCAAGCTATCCCTAGACGGGAAACCTGACGCCGCTCCTGATGGAAGGGGAAGACCTCGGCTGCGAAAGGTTGCGTGGAAGCGATTTCACCTTGGGGTCCTGGTTGTAACGAAGACGATCACGCTTGAGATTATACATCTTGATCAGGCATGCCATGGCTTGTTCTTCCATCAATTGAGGAGCACAGACAGAGTCACCGTCCAGCGGGACTGCGCGCAAAACAGAAGACACCATCCACATGGCCAGGACGTCAATATCGCGGGCATTGCTCCAGCAAGGGAACATCGAGAGCGTTTGCATGGCGCGTGTGAACTCGCGATATGTTTCCGTCCGAGTGTCGGTGAGGAAAGGCCGCGAGCCAGGAATCTTTTCTTGTTCGAGGCGCTGGTCAAGCAGGCGGAGACACTCACGGGGTGTAGGACTCTTGAAGACAACCTCTTCCTGGAACAGACTCGAAAGGCGGGGCTGGTTGCACAGCAACAGGTCCATTTCAGGGCCAGATCCCGCCAGAATCACCACAGTGTCGCGAGAGTACTTGGGCAGGAGGTAAATCAGGTCATTGATCGTCTGAGCAGCGGATTCGATCTCACTGAGCCGGTGAGCATCTTCCACAAACAAAACACCTCCACGTGCACGTTCCAGCAGCGAGCGCGTTTGAGTCGACGAGTTGCGGGCATCCAAGGGGGTCAGATCTGTTGCAGAGCACTCCATAAATTTTGCAGAGGCTAGCACACCCATGTCATAGTATAGGCGGCTGATCAGCCGTGCGACGCTTCTCCTGCCAATTCCAGTGGCGCCCTTGAAGATCATTGCAAGGGGAACACGCCGACTTGGGTCCGCATTCAGCAACCACGCAGCCTTCAGGTCGTGCCGGTAGCGTTCCAGCAGAGTAATAAGATCTTCCGAGACAAGGTTGTATTTCAACTCCTCGCGGAAATCCAATTTTGGTCTGCCACACAAACGATCACCTTTGAAATTTTCAGGCACCAGAACCCTATCGAGTTGTGACTGGGTCACGTCACCCTCCGACCGACTCCGTTCGTATGCAAAGTGAGCTGAGCCGAGCAGGTGAGCAATTGCTCTTCCGTTATTGAAGTCCTTGCGCATGCGAGCAACTTCGAGCAGTTCAACAGCGTCGTCCAGCGCCTCAGAGGTAGCATGAACTTCGTCGTCGTGCAGCTTCATCTCGAGAATCTGCCGCAACTGCTCCTTCGTAAAAGAATGGAAATGAACAATGTGATGCTCTCGGAAAATCTTCAATATATCCTTTTCCTGAACCAAAGGCTCGATACTGCTGTGAGTTCCAACCAGGATCACACAGCGATCGTGGCGAGGAATGAGCGACAATTGAGTGATAAGAGTTTTCAGCCAAATCTGGGACGAGTCATCATGATCAGACACATCGACCAAGAGGACTTTGCCGATGGAGGAATCCAGGACGCCTTTGACGTCAGGTCTCTGCGAGATACGCATCTCAACCACTATTTGTTGTTAGTGCTGCGTTTCAGTTTCAGATATAGACAACTCACCTTCTCCGCTGCTCAGAAGACCCACATCTGCCAACACCTGCCCATACAGCCTCGCCACCGTGGACTTGCCAGTCCCTGGTGGTCCGACGAAAACACGGTTGACTCGAACGGAGAACGGTCTCTGGTTTCGCGCTTCCCTCCAAAAGTTCTCCTCTATCGTGTCCAGCAGTTCACTGACTGATGCCTTGACCGCTTCCTGACCAACAAGCTTCTGCAGGTCTGCCCAAGCCCGACTTTGGCCCAGTACATCGGCCGGTCTGGGACCTAGTATATCTTCCGGCGACAAGAAAAAGGTATCGACCTCTTCCAGATTGCCCTGTTCTTGGGTCAGCGATTGGAGTTGGCGAAGAGTGATGGTGTCCAGGAGACGTTGCACCGCATGCACATTTCTCGGGCCGTTTCCGGCAGCCGCACGGACAAGTCGCCGAGCGGCCATCTGCATGAACGGACCGTCCAGGCCACCGGCCACCTCGAGCTTGCCATTGTAACGCTCCTGTAGCGACTGGCCCAGCAGAGTGAGGTAGTCATTGGAACTGAAGTCGGTGAAGTGCAGTGTACAACAGATTGTTCTTTCAAGTCGGGGCTGAACCCGAACAAGCCCCTCCATGTGCGGAGGATGACCGCTGAGGACGACGACGACGCGTCCGGTGCCACGCTCCATCGCCTCGAAGAGGCCATCAAAGATCTCCTGAGTGCGAGTGGGGGACGACGTTATCAGCAGATGAGCATCCTCGACGAGCAAGACTCCAACAATCTGTGCCGAGGGGGATGCAGCGTCGACCATGCCACTGATCAGATGCTTCAATCCCTCGGGTCCCTGCGCGGCCAGCGCGGCTCCGGAGATTTCTCGAAGGGTCGGCACGTCGGTGATGCCGGTCGAAAAGAGGATGTTGGCATATATGCGGGCGACAGTGGTTTTACCCGTTCCTTCATTGCCCTCGAGGACAATATTGTACCACTCCTGCTTTGGATCTTTCCCTTGTCTCTGACAAATGCTGATCCATGTTTGAATCTCATTCAACCGACGTTTGATATTGTCCTGGCCAACCAGGCTCTGCAGCCAGTCCTCCGCATCGCTCCGCGCGATCTCCCGACGAGCTTGTAATTCTTTCTCGGGAGACGGTGTGATAACCTTGACAGATGGCGGTCGGCTATCGGGAATGGTCTGCGTCGAGACCGACACTGATGCCGATGGCTGGGGTTTGCGAGGGGATAGGAGGGAGGAAAAGGAAAGAGACCACGGAAACCGCGACGACATGGAGCGAAGGACGGTCAGGTCCATCTTCGGCCAGAGAAGGCTGCATGCGATGGAGAAAAGAACGGAAGGAGGGCATGAAGGCAGGTCTAAATACCAGCGTCAGGCCTGATGAAAATTCTGATCACACCAGGTTGGCTTTGTTTACCAAACCCTTAGTCTGATATTGTGAAGCCCCATGGTCGCAAATTTTCACTGGGTCTTTATCATTTGATTGAGTATTCTCTCCAGGCTGCCAATGAGCATGCAGCAAAGGTGGGAGCTCCTCATAGCTACCCATCGCAAGCTGCCAGATGGAGGGGACGCCGAGGTCGCTCAAAGAAGGTGCACAGCATCGCGTTGTAAACAACTTCCCGGACAGGTAAGAGAAAACAAAAAGCGACCAGCCAACGGCGGCCAACGCGTCGATTAAGTCGATCAAATCGTGCCATATCGCAATGATGATTCGCGCCAGGCAGTTCACCGCTGTTTGCACCAGTGGAGACCTTTGCTTCGCCCTGCCGGCCCAACAGCGGTCGGGTGTGGATATCTGCGTCGGAGGTGGATCATTGTCGACAGCATCACTCTGACTTCGTTATAGAATGTTATTGTATCAAAAAGCATTGTCAACAGGTGACATCAACTGGTAGATTGAGTGCCATGTCAGAAAGATGAAACAAAAGATGAAGGTTCGAAACATGTTGGGTGTTGGCAAGTTGGCAGTGTCCAGCGCATCCATGCCACTTTTTTCCGTTTGTGGCTGGATGCAGTTATGCACATAGTTATGCCGGATTACTAATTATGTTGGATTACCTAACTGTGCTTTCAGGCAGCCAGGCAAAAATGACTTCGCTGTGAAGAGAAATTCAGAACACTTTTGTGATGCTGGGCTGCCGACCGTAAACTGTTAGGCAAAGTCGTCTGGTAAAGCGATTTTGCTCCGATAATCCTTTCTAGCAGCCTCGAATGCGCCCTTTTATGGCTGGATCAGCCTGTCTACTCCGTACACGTTTGCGCTCTGGAAATCAAAGACCACGCGCCTTCAAAAAAGATCCTGTATGAGTCAAATTCCGGAAGAAACGAAGTCTTCCCAGGTCAAAGTAAGGCAAAGTCCATGCTTCTACCATGTCAAGTTCTTGCGTTGTGGGTTGGTATTCCATGGTCACCTCCGAATATATATACTTTGAGTATCATGGTCCGGCGCTATGTAGTGTACTTAGCTAGCACCATATAGATGAACAAGCCTCAATATACCTATTCAATTAATGCTGACACTGAAAGAATTTTCGCTGTTTTGAGCGGACAAACCTATAGAAGATTGAACCTCCACACCATGACCTGAGAATCTCCCTCCTGCATGTAGATATACCGAGTTGCCCCTTCATGATAGCAATACTATACCCTGGTTGAAATATCTGTCCATACAGTATACAGCACCCCCAACGAGGTGAATCACGGACGAAGCCTCCATTCAATCTCTATGCCCTCCATTCACACCATATCTCCACCCCATATACCCAATAACGCCGGCTAAACTCCCCAGTCCTGCTCCCCCTACGATATGTGTCAACCCTGGGCCTCGCAGCGGCATTCCATTCTTCCTCATCATCGCGGTAGTCGTTCCGATTCCCACCAGCATACCCCATGTACTCCAATTATCGACCTCCACCTGCCCCTTATTCTCAAGGAGCCTCCAGCTCCGATCCTGCCATTCGATTCTTTCCTTCCCTGCCATCCGAATAGGAAGCAGGATGGCCATGCTGCAGAAGCCGAGCAAGCCGGCGGATCCGGTCGAGCGCGTGATAATGCCGGCCGACATGCGGAGGCTGGGGGTCTCGGAGCGCAACGATTTCACGAATCCAACAGCTACTCCGAGCGCGGAACCCGCTTGAAAGCCGCGGTCGAGGACATGAGTGGCGAGAATGAGGTGCGGAAATGGCTGATCTTCCGCGTAAGGAGGGTGTTGCCAGTCGGGGGGTATCATGGTTAGTCCGGCTTGACTGATGAACAAGCAGGTTGGATCATTAGATGAGTGTATTTGATTCTTCTGAATGCTTACATTTTGTCATATTCAGAGCAAGGTGTCAGCAGGTGCGGATTCCCAAGCAAGCAGTAAGCTTGTGGACTACTCGTAGCAGAAGCGGATAATGGGTGGCAATATCCGCGATCATTAATAAGGCAGATACCACAGATTAACAGGAGCTTTGACACTTGGATCAATTAGCCAATTAGAGCAGCATATGTTATAGTAGTGCTGACAGTTACTCTATCCAAAGGCCGTCAGCCTTGCTGACTGGTTCACTGCATTGTTTCTCGTGAGACCTCGCTGTTCACACAGCTGGCAATAGGATACCTGCATCACAGATAACCGCAACAAAAGAAATGGCATTTTCATTATCCATTATAGATAGTCCTGACAATCAATCCGATATGTTCCTGCTAAAACACCACGATTTTCCCTTCTCTGTCCTCTTAAACTTAGTATGTGGCAACCTTGCGCATCTGATCTCTTCAGCCCGTTCTCCGCTCCTGGCCCAGTTCGTGCGGGCGTACTCGCGGCGGTGGTAGAAGAAGCGGTTGTTGTCATTGGTATGCTGAAGGGGAAGCACGGTTGCTTAGACAAGGAGTCGAGGTCGTTGAGATGATAGACGAGTACTGAAGATAAAGTCCATATTTGTTGGCTGTAGTACTGCCTATGCTCTACTACGGGAGAATCAGACTAAGATGCGTCGATCACCTCCACTTTCCACCCCACACATGCCTCGGTTCGATCGACTCGGTTCATTATCACATTGAGGAATCAAGACATATCATTGGTGAGAATAAGACTGTACAATTGCTATGTGAGGCTATACGCAGGCATGGGATACCTAGTTGAACACGAATCCAATTCCCTTGGACAGGTACTTCTTCACCCCCGTCTTCTGAGCCTTGGCCTCCTCATCCCGAGGATCGACATAGAAGCGGCGGAATTGATCCAGATCAATGCTTCTCGCATCATTCAGGAGCGGCCCCTTGTAGTAAATAAGGGCACCGATATAGATGACGATAATCGCCACCACGCTGACATAGTTGGAGAAGAAGTTTTTCGCCGTCGGCTTCCCGCCAAGAGGCCACACACTGAGATAGAACTCGACGATGATGAGTACCACACACCAGAAGAGACCCCAGATGGCGCCGAAGGGGTAGGTCCAGGATTTCCACGGCAGCTCCGACGGCGACCGGCCCTGGGCTTTCCAGGCGTATCGCATGCGGAGATGCGACGCACAGATCATGCCCCAGCCGAAGAGGGTGAGGAGAGAAGTGAGGTTGGAGAACCAGCTGAAGACCTGGGCACCGCTGTTGTTGACGTTGAGATAGGCAAGCCCACCGCCGATGACCAGGGTGAGGGCTAGACCGGCGACGGGACGGCCGACTCTGTCTGCTTTGCCGAAGAACTGTCCGAGTCAGCTAGGACTGAGAGATGATGGTAGATGCACGTACCTTTGGTGCCATTTTCAGATGCGAAAGTCCCATCAGTGTACGAGAGCCCGCATACACCTGAATACTTCCTGTCGACACCACGGAAATGAAAACGACCGCGTTCATGATGTGCGCCAGTGGGACGAGTCCCGCGTTACGGTAGGCAATGACGAACGGAGAGGCGTTGGTGCCCGATGCACCGAACAGGTTTGGGTCGTGAGGACTGACAGTGATGGTGACCATCAACGAACCCAGGATATAGAAGAGCGAGAGACGCAGCCAGATCGAACCGACAGCGCGAGGCACCGACTTGCGGGGGTTATTCGTCTCGGCGGCCACCAGCGCAGTGTTCTCGGATCCCGACATGGCGAAAATGCAGGTCGGCATGACGGAGAGGAAGCCCTTGAAGCCGTGGGTGAACGGTTCGGCGTTCCAGTAGCGGAAACCAATGGGGCCTTCACCGGGGGCGCCTCCAGCAGAGACAACTACTTGGATTAGACGATGTTCGCAAAGGTAAAGAGTGGAGTCATACCAGTCAAAGAGATGATGACGATGATGATCCAGGAGAACTTGATTGTCGAGGCGGCGACTTCGACTTCCCCGAAGAACTTGACGGCCCAGACGTTGATCAAGACGATGACAACCCAGAAGATACTAATCCACGCAGCCGTAGGCACCTTGTCTGTCCAGAAGTTGAGGACGGTGACCACACCCTAGGGAAGTCAGATCAAACCCTAACCCAGACTGAATGAAGACAAACAAACCTGCAGTTCATTGGCCAAGGTGATGAAGAACTGAAAATAGTAGCTCCAGCCCAGTGTGAATCCAGCCGCCTCGCTGATAAAGATGGATGACCACTGCACAAAAGCCGAGGGAAGCGGATAGACAACCGCCATCTCACCGATGGAATGCGAAACCGCCCAGATCATCGTCCCACTGAGCAGGTATCCGATGAAGATGGCAGCAGGACCACCGTTCATCAGCGAGGTACCACTTCCCAGCCATAATCCCATACCAATGGACGAGCCCAGCGCAATCATGGTGAGATGGCGGGTGCTCAGGGACCGGTGGAGGTCGGTATCGGCGCCATGGTCGTGGTCGACATCGATAGTCGAAAGAATACCTCCTTCCTTTTCATGGGGCCTGTTGGGGCTACCAGAAGACTCGTACGTGGGAGCCTCCATGGCGACGTAGAGAAGGTAACAAGAAGCAAAAAAGTGATATAATCAAGGAGTTTCGCAGTGATCAACGGGAAGGACAAGAACAATCGGGGACAGGAGTAATATAAAGACGGCCGACAGAGCCTTCAGACTTTCTCGCACAACACCACCTCAATCTAAACGCATGGCCTATCTGCCAATAAAATGGCAGAAAGGCTTGGCTTGCGATAAGCCGTTTGGTTTGACCGTGTTAGCGTGCTGGGTTTCAACTAGGCTGGACGGATAACCCTCGCCAGTCTGCCACTCAGCTTGTATGCAATTAATATCAACCGGGGACACGGGAGCCCGTCGTATCGCTTATAAAGTCAGTTCTCAATCAGACTTTCCTTCACGGAGACCTTTCTGAAACAGGGTTGTGTGGCTGCTGGAATGTAACGTTGGCTGATCCTCCAGCTGGGTCTCACCATAGGATAACCCAGTCGATGCGCCCAAATACGAAGAGCAGTTGTCCTGGTGTCCTGCACTTGGTTGCTATTCCAATCTAACTGCTCATGTGTGCCTTAGAGCGTCCTGGCTAAGAGATGAGGACTCGATTTTAAAATAGAACAGGGCAAGGTGGACAATCCTCCGATTTGACAACCAGGGACAATGCAGAGTGTGTTGTTCATGCAGGCTGTATCCTCGAGTACATTTTATCTAGATGTACTCTGTACTCCGTACTTCTTAGACCTACGATTACAGATTGATGTCCGATTTCAAATGTGCATCGCCTTGAGGGTGGAACATTCACAGCTGAGACAGAATGGACCAAAATGGGACAGGCTGAACGCAATATCAGCCACTCCGTTCTAGATTGATGAGATCCGGATTGAATAGGAGATGAAGTCGGGGCGAGACGGATGGGAAAAGGAAGGAAATCCACATGCACTTGGCCGCACTGGGAGTCTGATCGACAATCCCTCGTATTCATTGGTTCTTCTCTGGAATCCTCGAGGATTTAAGTTGAGCCTACGTCTGCCCCTGGAATGCGGGATCTTATTACTGGTACGGAGTACCTTACGGGAGAACCGTGAGTTGAGAATATGGTGGATATCCAGTGTATCTACGGTGTCTTTTGAAATATCCAAAAGTCTAGCATATCTTAAGCATTAGTAATGGTATTTCATGTATAGATTCTAAAGACACCGTACATCTATTATATCTAAGCGTGCGTATACTGTATCTAAGCATGGATATACTATGGATATACAGTAGCTGGTACGTGGTAATAGCGTGGAAATATGATATAAGCCATGGATTGGTTCCTAGGGATATATGGCTCAGCCATTCAGTAATATTCCCCAACTCTAGTACCATGGATCCATACTAGATCTACCAGAAATTTGAAAAGTTTCCCTATTTCCACAGAGTCTTGGAAGGTTATACATGATACATCGTATCTTCAACTCACGGTTCTCACGCTAGGTAGGATTCACTGATCAGGCATCCTATTCTCCTCCCTGGTGGATTTCTCTATCCCTCATTGTCCAGTCTTCCTGCGTAGCGGTTAAGCACGGAGCCATATCGTCAATCGGACCATGTTCATATGATTGATAATTGGATATCTATAACTGGGCGACTCTGGAGTAGTGTTATGGAGCCCACCAAAGAGCAAAGTGGACACTGATGGAGTATCAATGCTTATTCTAATTAACCTTAGGCGATGGCCTCTTTCGCTACTATTCATAGCATTTCTCGTATATAGAGCCGTGGACTAGCAACGAACACGTCAGCAATACGAGTCCACAGGATGCATATGAACACGGGCTTATGCATAGAGACAGTGCATTTTATGCGGAGTTTATGATAGAATTACTCGATCTGCTTGCTATGAATAGAATTGATCAGAAATGGTTACTTCTTCGGCTTCAGCAGCAGGCTCGGGGTAAGTGCACCCTCTTTGGCGAACGACGCTCTCAAATACCCCGAAGTGACTTTCTTGGATTTCTTCTCATTGATGACGCCTCTCCTCAAATCCAGGCAAAGAGTAAAATCCGGGGAAATGGGAACATAATTCCACCATTGGCATCATTCATACAATCAGCACTGATGCCTCGGTCTCCTCTCCCCGCATTTCGTGGTAATCTTCCCCCGAAATGAACTTGGCATCTCCAAAACATGGGGAAAATATCTGCGGTACAAATACTTGTTGACCTGATGCTGTCAAGGACAGAATCATCCTTGCATCCCTGCAGAGTCGATCACCATGCGATTCTCATCCATTGTGAGTCTGGCAATGGCGGCTGGGGTGCACGCCAAAGGCCCATTTCTGCAAAAGGTCGACGATTCCACGCATATCATCGGAAACGATCTGTGGAATGTTACCATTGGGCAGCAGTACGGTGTCAAGCTCTACTACAAAGGCAAGGATTTGGTAGGGAATGCCGTGGGCCACTATGTCAGCTACAGTGAGTGACCTTCTGCCGCTTCGTTTGACCATCTACCAACTCCAGCGATGACAGATGGCGCGCAATCCGACCTGAACTGGACATCAGCGGAAGTCTATCGCAAAGGAAAGACAAATGGACAAGACTTCCTGGATATCCAATTCACCGCCAAGGAGGGCGACTTCCACTGGGTGATCTTCGAAGACCTGGTCGGCGCGTACCAGTACTTTGTCAACCATGCCCTCCCTACACTGGGTGAGTTCCGGACGCTGTGGCGGTTGGACAACACGAGCTTCCCAAACGGACGGACAAACATCAAGGACGGTGCGCTTCCCACGCTGGCGGAGATCGCCAGCGGCACAAAGGTCCAGGACGAGACGTGGCAGCTGGCCGACGGGTCCTACATTACCAAGTACGACTGGACCGCATGGATCCGCGATCAGGACTACTACGGGGTCTATGGCGATGAGTTTGGCTCGTGGTACATCAATCCGGGCAAGGACTACTACAACGGGAACCATCTCAAGCAGGAACTCATGGTGCATCGCGAGAGCTCGACCGGCGATGCGGTGCAGCTCAACATGATCCACGGCACACATTTTATGGTCTCGTCCAACGACGTCTTTCCGGACGGCAAGGTCTGGGGACCGTGGCTGTGGTACTTGGTATGTTTTGTCATCAGTTATCGGATGACCCACTAACATGGCAACAGAACGACGGATCCAAAACGGACGCCGCCGCCCGCGCAGTCGACGAGTTCAAAGCATGGCCCTACAAATGGTTCGAGGATGAAGCCTACCAGTCTCGTGGCTCCGTTTCCGGCCGCCTGGTCCTCTCCGACGGCCGACCAGCCGCAGGCGCATCGGTCTTCCTGGGCGACAATAACCCGAACAAGACGGCGCTGGACATGGGCACGACCTACTACTACACCGGCCAGACCGACGACAAGGGCCGGTTCACGTTTGAGGACGTGCGCACCGGCGACTACGGGCTGCAGGCATGGTCGAACGGCGGCCAGCTCGCCGACGTGGCCACCTCCTTCCTGCAGAACGACGTGACGGTGCGAGAGTCGCACACGGCCAAGCTGGGCACGCTCAAATGGGAGGTCCCCTCGCGCACGAGAATCTTCCAGGTCGGCGACTTTGACCGCAAGTCGGTGGGCTTCGAGTACGGCGGCGCTCCGTACCAGCACGCGCTGGTCGCCAAATGTCCTGGGAACCTGACCTATACCATTGGCCAGAGCAAGACCGCGGATTGGTGCTTCGGACAGGCCGCTTTGGGAACATGGTCGATCCGGTTCGAGGCGGCCAAGAGCTCGGCTGCTCTTCTCACTGTCTCCCTGGCTGGGTACTCGTCGGGAACCACGTCAATGATTCTCCTGAATGGCGATGCGACCAGTCCGATCGGAAACCTGACCACTCTGCCAAACGATCCCTGTCTGTATCGGTCGGCCACGACGGCTGGCGAGTGGCGGTTGTTCCAGTTTGAAATCCCCGAAGGGAAACTGCAGTCTGGCTGGAACTCGATTGACTTTGCCGTGAGCAAGGCCAGCCAGTGGCACGGCTTTATGTGGGATAGCATTATCCTGGAGTATTTGTAGACATCAGTCTAGAATGCACACTTGCAAACTCTTCACTTATACGTGGTCCATTTCAGACATCATCCTTACTCGTCCGTCTGACGAGCTACGTAGAACTGGCTTCTATCTTGGCAACAGATGAGCCAAGCTCCATTCGGAGGACAAGATCAACTAGCCAAGACAAACCTCAATGAAGGATCCGAGGCCAGCATGTGCGACAGGGTCATGATTCGACGGAACAAACAGGAACTGTGCGGCTCAACCAAAGGGGCAATACGGGAGGACAACTAAAGTGAGGCATCCACCGACTATGGAAAACAGAGTCCTCTGTATGGAAAACATTCGCACTAGACCCACTGGATCCTGGAAGTTTTAGTAAGTCGTAGTTTGATGAGAGCCTCTTGGCAACTCATCCAAGCTCAACGCATCATTTGGCTCAATTGATCTGCTGTTGATCTGCTGTTGATCCTGCCTGTTGACTCGGTTGTTGCATACTGCGATGTTGCGAATGGAGTCAATCTACTGCCTGCTGTTTGTGGATTCATACATCACTATGATTCTATGTAAAATGCAATGTACCTCTCTAAGATGACTGGAAATGGCTCATAGGATGCTTCAATCGCCCATCGCTCAATCGCCCATCGCCCATCGCCCATCGCTAAAAAAGCCACCAGTTCATGCCGAGCCAGCGGACTCTGGTCTAGTTCATCGCTTCGCAGGCACCGAGTCACCAACAGAATGTAACCTGAGTTGGTCATAAGTACGAGACGTGCCCCTGGTTGTTGTTCACCGATCTGGCACCATCATGTACGGACGCAGGTTGATGTAGTCACTGTCCTTCAGTTCAACCAAGTCACTCTTTCAGTCAACCTGTCGCCCTTGAAATGTATTCTCTCCTTCCACTCCTTTTGGCTATTGTGCCAGTGTGGAGTTTCAGCTTGAACACCCCCACCGAGTACTGGAACTACACCACCGCCAGCCTGTCCAGCACCACCTCGCAAGAATGCAAGGACGCCTACAGCGCGCACATCGACTGCGACGACTTTCTGCTTGCCCTGGCCGTGTCCAAGGAAGACCGCTGGTGGCTGCCGCCCGACTACGAGTCGGCCACGTTTGACCGCACCTGCACGGCCACCTGCCAGGCATCTCTGTCGGCGTATGTGGCGAACGTCGAGAATACCTGCAACAAAGCCAGCGACGCAGCATTAAAGACGAAGGACACGGGAGACCTCGGGGTAAAGGTGTTTGTGCCAGTTGTGACGCTGGGACATATTCTGCAATATGCCCTGATGAGATCCTGCACCAAGGATGAGTATGTAGCTGATGCTCCAACGTGAAAGGACGGACACTGACATGTTTCGTTCCATTAGCGACGGATCATACTGCTATATCGGGCAGAGCAGCTCTTACTATGACGACGGCGACTGCGACTGGACCTGCGCGCTGGCCTATTTCTGGGTTGGTCACGAATATCCGTATCATGGCTACCAGTTCGGTTTTCATATGAAGGGCATGGACGAGGAGGGCAATCGCGTCGAGCTGATTTCTAGCAGCGTGCTCTTTGACGATTGGCAGGATTCGTCGTACGGTTGGGCGACGGTCGAGAAGTGCGGATGGACCAAGAATGATACAGTTCCATTGTTCAGTACGGGCATGTCGAAGGAGGTAGTTGAGAAACAGTCGACAACCAACTCGACTGCGAATTCGACGGCGACCTCGACTGCGACGATGGCTGCCGGTTCAAGTACGGTGACCAGTGCTGGACTCCACGCCGTCACCAGTGCCTCTCGAACGGGGTCAATCCGGATGCATTTCGAGACATGGATGACAGTGTTGGTTCTTGCTAGTGGGATAATGGTCCTTTAATGGCAGTTGGTAGTCAGAAGTTATGGTATTCAACCGAGTGGAGGAAGAGAGTAACTGATTCCCTCTTGACCTGCTCTTATCTATAGCATCTACCACTTGCATTTGGCTTGAGATTCACTGCCGATTATGTCTCAGCCTTCTCAGCCGAGGCTATCCATTAGGTAGACTTAGCACTACTTTACCAAATAGTTGATTATTGGCTCATAAGTCTGGCTTTGTTGCGGCGATCTGATTGGCTCGATATGAACGGAAATCAGCAGAGTTTTTTCCATGCGTCATTAACTTTTCTCTTCCCTAGACTAGATACTTTTACTGTCCAGTCCTAGTCAAGTCCTAGTCAAGTCCTAAAGTGCTGGTTAGTCGTAACTTGGTTCAATGACAGGGGGGCAACTCTATTCCCAAACAGGCAAAATCGTCCAGTGACTCCTATTATTACATGACTTGACGGATGGGGGATGCCTTGGTAGCTATTATTCAGTACTCAACTTTTTCCTTGAATAGGTAATCGTATTCCTATCTACTCCCTACTCCGTACACTCAAACCAAATCATGCAAGCAACAATGCGCATCGGATATCTCCAGACTGGACTGTCTCGGTGGATCTCCAAGCCTCCGTCTGGTGGAACTCGAGCCATGAACGCAGCAAATGGCTTTGAGGCAATTAAACGAGCTTGTTCCACCGTCGTCATTCAGGCCGTCTCGGGCTCTTTCTGCTCCAATCATCCTCTTCTTTCCTCGTGGCTGTCGCGGAGTCCATGTCGCTCCCAAACCTTGCCTTTGTCGAATCATGCCCCGCTGTATCCCTGATTAAGATGTTAATTATCCTCTTTTCTGTTCTACAGCGCCATTTCTCACGTGGGCAGCGTGTAAATCTTGCTGTTTTTGGCTTCCTCCAGATTTTTCATTTCTTATCATTTAATACCCGTCAGCGTCGCCCATCGCAGTTCTCACGATACTCCAACTCAAGGCCCAACGCAGTCTACCCAGCCCGGATTATCGTATACTACTATATGAGCATGCTTCTCTGACGCATACAATCTTTGTGTCCCACGTCGTGCCTTCCCATCGACCTCCCTGATATCCTTCTTCCCCACGCGACAACCCCGGAACCCCTCCGTCCTCCACCTTTTCCACCACATCCGCCACGACCACCACCACAACCATGGAGACTGGCACCGACAAAGCCTCGGCAGACGCCGTCCTAGAGCATCTAGGCTATACTCCAGAACTCTCCCGCAACCGTTCAGTCCTACAGGTCGCCTTTATGTGCTTTATCCTCTCCTCCGTCCCCTACGGTCTGGCTACCACCCTCTTCTACCCACTCGCCGCAGGAGGCCCGTCCAACATCGTCTGGGGCTGGATTATCGTCTCCCTCGTCATCCTGTGTGTAGCCATCTCGCTGGCCGAGATCACCTCCGTCTATCCCACTGCCGGTGGCGTCTACTACCAAACTTTTGCCCTGTCGCCCGTCTGGTGCCGCCGCGCCGCCGCCTGGATCTGTGGTTGGGCCTACGTGCTCGGCAACATCACCATTACCCTGGCTGTAAACTTTGGGACTACCCTGTTCTTCGTCGCCTGTCTCAATGTCTTCGAATCCGCGCCCGGTGTCGGTATTGTAGATGACATGCAGACCTACCAGATCTACCTCATCTTCCTCGCCATCACCCTGTTGACCCATGCGATCTCTTCCCTAGGCAACAAATGGCTCCCCATCTTGGAGGTATGTTTCTTCTTCGTTGCGACCAGTATTTTGCCTCCCAATGCGCCTTCTCATGCGTGGTCTCCCATCTAGACTTCGGCCATCTTCTTGACCCTGATCGGCCTGATTGCCCTGATTGTCAGCGTCCTGGTTGTCGCCAAACATGGTCGACACTCTGGTAAGTGGGTATTCACCGACTTTGAGCCGCAGTCCGGCTGGCCTGCCGGCTGGTCTTTCTGTATCGGTTTGTTGCAGGCCGCATACGCCACCTCGGCCACTGGAATGATCATCTCGTGAGTTTCCTTTCTCTCTCTTTTATGACCTGTCCGTTAATATTGTATAGTATGTGTGAGGAAGTCCGTGAGCCTGCCATTCAGGTACCCAAAGCCATGGTGTGGACCATCGTGCTCAACTTTGTCGCCGGTTTGGGCTTCTTGCTGCCCCTGACCTTTGTCCTGCCCGATATCACGATGCTGGTGAACCTGGCCTCCGGTCAGCCCACCCCCGTGATCCTGAAAGATGCTCTGGGCAGCTCGACCGGAGCCTTTCTGCTGCTCCTCCCGCTGCTCATTCTCGGCATCATCTGCGGTGTGGGATGTGTGACGGCCGCCTCCCGCTGCACCTGGGCCTTTGCGCGTGACGGCGGTATTCCCGGTTCCAAGTGGTGGAAGACCGTCAACTCGACCTTGGACATTCCCCTCAACGCGATGATGCTGGGAATGGCGGTGGAGATTGCGCTAGGCGCCATCTACTTTGGCTCCACCGCCGCGTTCAACGCTTTCTCCGGTGTCGGTGTTATTTTCCTGACGCTCAGCTACGCTTGCCCCATCGCGGTCTCGTTCTTCTTCCGTCGTCGCGCGGATATCGCCACCGCCAGATTCAACCTGGGTGTCATTGGCAGTATCTGCAATGTGGTTGCGCTGGGTAAGTCACTCACTCCGGTCGCAAAGTCACTGCTGACGGTCTACAGCATGGAGTGTTCTGGCCATTCCTCTGTTCTGTATGCCCACGTACAAGGTCGTCACCCTCGAGACCATGAATTACGCCTGTGTCGTCTTCGTCGGGTTCACCGCCATTGCCGGGCTCTGGTACTTGGTCTGGGGTTACCGCAACTATGCCGGTCCCCCCAAGGAGGGTATCGATGGAGTGGAGGCCGATTTTGCCGATGTGCCCGCAAAGACTGGGTAAGTCGTGGTAGAATTGTATTGTATATACTGCATTTCAGACGTGTATAGGACACCTCTGCACAAATTCACAATTGCATACCACAGTTGAATCTGGTCAAAGACTCTGACAGTGATTATAGCAGCTCAGAGCCCATCGTCACCGGGAAGGACACCCCCGCGGCTGCGCACTTTTGACGCTGTAGCTCTCTGATATAAGTTCATGTCATCATGTATATAGTAGTCATACATGTAGTTATTGCAGCTCCATATCAGAGGAATATCCGTATTTTCACTTCACGGAGTCCGCTGGATCCTCGAAAGCCACTACGAGCTCTTCCACGTCAGACTAAACACCTCATCTCCCCCCCGGGACAACGCCACCTCCACGCTCCCAACCTCACTCTTCACACTCTCAGGAATGACCTCCCCCTTCCGCTCCAGCACAATCCGCTCCTTCGCCTCGGGCAACTTGTAAAACCGGCGTCCATACACACTGAGAAAATTCGCCAGCTTCTCCTGCGTGATATCCTCGTTGGCGATGACCCCCCGCTCGACGCCCTCCTCCAGCGCCAGAAGCACATACTGCACAACGCAGGGCTGCGTAAAAACACCCGCAGGCGGTTTGGCCGTTCCCTCGGCGCCGCCTTGCTTGGCGATCCGCGGGTGGGGGGCGCTGTCACTTCCACTGGACGACGTCAGCAGTGCATTGAAATAAAGAAGGGGTGCATAGGGCATACAAGAAGAACTTAGGGTCGCCGCTGCAGACCGCGCGGAGCAGCGCATCGCGGTCCTTGGAGGTCTTGGGGAGGGGCTTGCAGAAGGCCAGGGGGTTCTCGCAGCTGTGGTGTGTGAGGTACAGGTGGTGCGCGGTGATGGTTGCTGTATGTCGTCAGTAGCCAGCATATAATACAATACGAAAGACAGAAGCATACCCGCAACAGAAGAAGAGCAGGAGCGGACAGCCTCCAGGGCCGCCTCGGTACTGCAGTGCTCGAGGATGATGCGCAGCTTGGGAAACCTCTCATTGAGCATCTTGAGGGTGGGGAGGAATTTTTCTTCCGCGTTCATGTCGGTAATGTCCGAGCCGGGCGAGCCGGGGACCTCGCCGTGCAGGTTCAGGACCATGTCGTGCTTTTCCATCTCCGCGAACACGGGGAAGAACTCGTCGTAGTCGCGCACGCCGGCCGCGGAGTTGGTGGTGACGCCTGCACTCGTCAACAAGTCTGCCTGTAAGAGTGGCGGTCGACCTACCCTGAGGATACACCTTGACACCGGTGATCCCGGCCGCGGCGGCTTCTCTGATGGTCTCGGGGGTAACGGATTGGTAAGGACCAGTCAGCAAGGCTTCTCACTGCAAGAGAGACGAGAGACGTATATTCAAATACAGCGACATGAGATAGTTCACATTCGGCTCAATGGCCTGCAACTGCGCCTTGTACTCCAGCGCCTGGGCGACGCTGGTAACGGGAGGGACCAGGTTGGGCTGGTCGCGTCAGCAGTCAACCACGATGTCCAAGCCTACAGAAATAGGCAGGACTAACCATAACAAAGACGGTATCGACGCCTCCTTTACGAATCTGCGGCACAACCAATTCCATCATCTTGCCTTGGCGAAGGTGGACGTGCATGTCGGCCGCCGCCGGCAGCTCCAGCCGGGTCGTCTCTTTAAGGATCATTCTGTGCAGGACGTCGCGATACAATTCTTCCAGCTGGATTCGTTAAGATGATCCTCTCGTCGCAGTGAATGCTCGCCGTCAAGCTGCATGAGCCTTGAGCGCTCTCGTCATGCAAATCTCCAATAAGCGAGGCTCCCGCACATTGTCACGTGACTGCTGCCCCTCGCTGCGGGGCCTCCGCATTGGCTTAGGACAGATTATACGGATTCTGAGCCTTGTGAAGAATTCTACAGCTTGCATCTGGGACAGATTCTTATAAGTTATTCTCCCACTGGAAATGACGGATTAGCTTCTGTGCTCGGCCTGAAGCAAAGAGAAATTTCGGAGGAGATGTGTCACGTGATGACTCACTAAACTCGAATAAACAATTTGATGCCTAAGGTTGCCAATGTGGATTCTTCGGTGTTCCTCACTCCTCAGCTTCGACGTGCTAACCTTGCAGGTTCTCTGTTGTGTTCTTCATCTTGCAAATTGATGATCTGAGGTCACCCTCGTTATTATGTTCATGCTCATGAGACATATTTTCGTGTTAACTACCACCAAGATTGAGGCGAAGCGACGTTGATGACAAGATATATATTCTCCATGACAAACAAGGACTTAGTTCAGCAAAGACTTACAATATGAGGAAGTTCTCAGTTATAGATGTTCCGGCGACTCATAACAAGCTCTTATATGCTACATTTGTCAATAAAGTCATTTCGTGCATGTCAATTTCTACCTTGTCCTAGGATTCATTGGTGCGGAACCAAGGTCCGAAGGAGTCTACGAGGCTTCATCAACTCAACTCAATTCCTCGCATCGAGAAACGTTCAAAGACCACGGGAAGACTCATATTGTCGCGAGATGTCTTGTCATGACTGCTTGCGCGCCAAGACATTGTCCCGACATGTTCTTCGATGCATCGTCAGGTTACAGACTGCGTGATCCTCTACTGACCCCATGGTGATGTGAGTGCCTGACGTCAGGAATGCGATTGTTCTCTCCATCGTACCATATCATACGTCCAGGAGCACGTTTGATCTTCTTCTCATGTCACCACCTGCTCGCTGGGGTCATTGATCCCAGTATAATAAGCCGCCGGACCCCAAACTACCCTCTGTTCACACTGCATCGAACCAGAATGAAGATAGCAATCACTGGAGCCCGCGGAGGCGTAGGACGCGTCTCCGTCAAGGTGTGCGCGGACGCAGGACACGCCACTGTGCAGGTCAACCGGACCAAGCAGCCCCCCACTGGCGACATCCCCAACACCGAGATGCGCACGGCGGATGTGGCCATGAACTACCAGCAAACCGTCGACGCCTTCCGCGGCTGCGACGCAGTCATCCACCTGGCCGCCATCCCCAATCCGGTCAACAAGGAGGACTACGTCGTGCACAACAACAACGTCGACTCGGCGTTCAACGGCCTCCGCGCCGCCGCAGAGGTCGGGATCAAGCGGTTCTGCTACGCCTCGTCGGTCAACGCCATCGGGCTCGCCTTTTCCAACCAACCGCTACACTTCGACTACTTCCCTCTAGACGAAGAGGCACCCCGGCATCCCACGGACTCGTACGCCCTGGCAAAACGCGAAGCAGAGATCCAGGCTCAAGCGTTCGCCGAGTGGTTCCCCGGGATGAAGATCGCGTGTCTGCGGATCCACGAGGTGTCACCGCTGGAACGGGTACAACAGCTCCACGAGAAGGACTGGGAGAATGCCGGAGTGAAGCAGCTCTGGGGGTGGGTGAATCCCGTGGCGACCGCGCGGGCGTGCTTGCTGGCCGTGGAGAAGTGCGACAATTGGGAGGGATGTGAGATTTTCAACATTGTTGCTCCCACGACTACGCAGGATATACCGTCAGAGGAGCTGGCGCGAAAGTACTTTCCTGATGCGGAGATTCGGGCTGATATGTCGGGTAATCAGGGCTTCTGGACAACGGAGAAGGCGAAGCGACTGATGGGATGGGAGCATTATGAGACGGGATAGATCAATCTATAGACCCAGCCATTACCGTGGATGATCCTATTTGAATCATGATGGTGTTCCAACGTAAATTGAAGCAGTCCAGCAGTGTCTTTAGGGATCGAACCTTCCACCACCATAATAGATTAGTAGAAGTAGAGAATGTGTCGGTTATCGGCAAAATAGACCTTTAGAATGTGAGCATTAAAATACCATGATCTCTTCGAGACAAGTCAGCTGTCAACAGTGGTAACAACAGGCAGACATCAACAGTCACCGATGCGTCTTCGGCTGATAAAACGATTGTCACACATCTCATATTTAGGCTAGCGAGGAAAAGACTCCACAAGGACGGCTTGTCTTGGCCCTGAACGCTGTCGTAGGTGGCGTCTTTAGCTGCCGGCCGTGAAATTGAGCGACATCTCGACCGAGTTGCGGATCGTCCCGATGCTGCTGGTTCCGAGATGTCGCGTTATACTCTGTACTTGAGTCGAAATGATGTCGAGTCTGAGTGGGAAAGTAGAACGAAAGCATAAAGTACCAACTATCAAGGCCAATGGCCGGCAAGGGGCTCACTACCCCGGATAAAAGCGTTTGATACTGATACTATGACACAATATCTCGGTTCGTTGATGTTGTGACGCAGCATCAACTTTTTCCTTCAACATGACTCGTGTTCATGTCGCATGAGGTGAGTGAATGTGCTTGAGAGACAACCCTTTAGTCGGCTAAATTCCCCAGCCAAGGGATAAAGAGGGAAAAACCCCGTTGTCGAAATAACCGACTGGATGATCACAAGTAGTGACTCCACCGGTGACGCACTTCGGCCTCGCTTTCTCCCTGTCCCCAAAGCCGATCATTTGTCCGTTCGGTACTCTCCAAGTCTCCAGGCCCTATCCCCGGACTCCTCCATTCCCGGCTTCCCATGGATTGGCCGATCGTTACTTCTTGCGGGGTGTTTTACTCTCGGCTGCGCTGCAATTCTGGCACCATCCCCGGACTTGGTGGGGAACCCGGCCTGGAGATGCCGTCGTCAAGGTCTGGCGGGACTTGTATATAACCTGCCAGTGCACTCGGAGCCGATGTCACTTCCACGGCTTCACCAGGTCAGTGCAGACTCACTTCTGGCACGATGTATCGGATCTCCAACATATACGGTACGCCCGCTGACTCGACATTGACGCTCAACTACTGACAGATGACAGTCCTGGCCGCCTTTGGCACTATCGGCGGTGCTCTATTCGGGTTCGATGTCAGGTAAGTCTCAGATGTGCTGTCCTATGCTCTGCATTGGCATTAGCTGATTCTCAATAGCTCCATGAGCGCGTGGATAGGCACACACCAGTACCTCGACTACTTTAACTCTCCCGACTCGAACTTACAAGGAGGCGTATGTCGAGTCCATCCGCTTCTCGGCCAAACTGACAGACTCGCGACATAGATCACTGCCTCCATGTCTGCTGGATCATTCGCCGGTGCCATTGCAGCTGGTTTCATCTCCGATCGCATTGGACGTCGCCGAGCCCTTCTCGTAGCCTCGATCATTTGGATCATCGGGGCTGTCATCCAATGTAGCGCACAGAATGTGGCACACCTAGTCGCCGGTCGTGTAATCAGCGGACTTTCAGGTATTCTCCCGCATGTCACCAAATACGACTCGACATGAACTCACCGGACCGTAGTGGGTATCACCTCGTCTCAGGTCTGCGTCTACCTCGCCGAACTGGCTCCCGCCCGTATCCGTGGCCGAATCGTCGGCATCCAGCAGTGGGCCATCGAATGGGGTATACTGATTATGTACCTGGTCTCCTACGGTTGCTCCGAGGGCGTACACTCCCCTGCTGCTTTCCGCATTGCCTGGGGTGTCCAAGCCGTTCCGGGGCTTATCCTGGCGGTTGCCCTGCTCTTCTTCCCCGAATCGCCCCGCTGGTTGGCCGGCAAGGAGCGCTGGGAAGAAAGTCTGGATACACTGGCCTTGCTACATGGGAAAGGCGACCGCAACCATCCCGAGGTGCAGGTCGAATGGGAGGAAGTCCAGGAAGCAGTGCGGATCGCACGGGAGGCTAAAGACGTTTCCTTCTTTGCGCTGTTTGGCCCGCGGGTTTGGAAACGGACGATGTGCGGTGTTAGCGTCCAGGTGTGGCAGCAGCTTCTTGGTGGAAACGTGGCCATGTACTATGTGGTCTATATCTTCCAGATGGCCAATATGGTAATTCCCCTTGCCCCTCGACGTTAATATAGGGGAGAGATCCGCTGACAGACTTAGCCCGGTGACACCGTCCTCTACTCGTCGGCCATCCAGTATGTCATCTTCCTCGTCACCACCGGCGCCATTCTGCCATACATTGACCGTATCGGTCGTCGACTGCTGCTCCTCTCCGGCTCTATCATCTGCATGGCACTACATTATGCCATTGCCGGTATCATGGCCACCTACGGCAACCCGGTCGACGAGATTGATGGCAACAAGAACCTACGCTGGCAGATCAAGGGCGCACCAGGAAAGGGCGTCATTGCCTGTTCCTATATCTTTGTCGGTGTGTATGGTCTGACCTGGGTGAGTCTCTTCTCTTGACCTGAACGGACCCATACTAACGAAGCAGGCTCCTGCCGCCTGGATCTACGCGTCCGAAGTCTTCCAGCTCAAATACCGAGCCAAGGGCGTCGGTCTCTCCGCGGCCGGCAACTGGATCTTCAACTTTGCGCTCGCCTATTTCGTTGCCCCCGCCTTCACCAACATCAAGTGGAAGACGTACATCATCTTCGGCGTTTTCTGCACGGTCATGACCTTCCATGTGTTCTTCATGTACCCCGAGACAGCGCGGCAATCCCTGGAAGAGATTGATATGATGTTTGATTCGAATATCAAGGCGTGGCAGTCGCACAAGGTTCACGATAAGTTTGGCGAGGAGATTGAGAAGCATCGCCAGCAGAGTGTGGCCGAGGCTGAGAAGCCTGCGGATACCCCTGTGCATGCTGAGGTAGTTTAGACTGCTGTGTTTATTGGCCACGATATAACTAACCCTGGAGACTTGATTTGCACTGGAGCTCTCAACTTTATGATACAAGGCATGCTATTGCTGATCCTCACGCACTGCATTGATCAGCATAGCCTCTGGATAAAAAGTAGTGGGCTATACTGGGCCCTTGAATAGTGTCAGGTTCACCTCTATTGATTAGAGAGGAAATATAGAATATTATACCCTATACCATTCGCACCTGCACATTAATCCCACTTGACGAATGATATTCGCTCCGGCGCGTAGCCCACACCGTCTTCGAGACAGATTACACGACCTTTCTGTTGAAAATCATCAAACTCGATAATGTTGTCAGGCCAAAGCATGAGGCGGATACAAGTGACTGAGTGTGATGGCCAAACCATGGTGCATATATATGCTTACCACTCCGTGGACCCCAGGCTTCACTTGACGTCTGGCGCGTGGTACATCAACTATAGTAACAAGGACGGGAATGCAGCCTTTACATTACGTCTTAGGATATTTTCAGGGTTCAGGCAAGTTCCTTTTCAGTCAAGGCGCTTATGTTGTCCTTGAATGTGACGAGGGACGCAACCTTTCATAAACTAGCGCAGGGATCCTCTGGCCACAGACTTGCAATAATAAGATTAAGGAGTCAGTCACAGTTACAGGCTAAATATGAGTACCTGACGAGGTGATGGATGACCTGCAGGATAGCAGTATGATGCATCAACTGAATGCAGGAGGTGTCACAAAGAAAGGGAGCAAAAGCTGCGAGGGGATGTAGTCATGCATTCTAAGTTTCTGACTAGAGACTCTGGGCTAGGCTGTCGGTCCTTGGATTCCTTTGTCTTGCATAGGTCAAAGAGTCGACAAGCGAGTCCGCATTAGTTTTGTAGAGATGCAAATGAAGCGACGAGAAAAGCGCCGTGGCGGAGATTTTGTTTCAGCTCCAGAAATTGCCCGGTGTTAGCGCTGACGTTCGGCCCAATCCATGGCAGCCGTTGATGGTCCACTGCTCCTTGGGTCTAGAATTGATTTTAGATCCAGATCGTCAAAGGCCTCGAATCTATGGATTCACCAGTATATATGGAAGCTGCCGGCCCTGGTGAATGATGAAGGTCAACTCATCAGCTTCTGGCAAGCGTCCTTCCTTTTTTCAATTCTCAGTCATTCCTTTGTACTAGCTTCAGTCATTCCTTTACTTCTCTTCAATCATCATGTTCCAGGTGAACTTTTCTCGTGTTTTGGTTGGCTTGATGGGATGCATGGCCCTTGTCCAGCAAGGGTACAGCGCATGCATCCCTTCCTATCGTCTCCATGAGGTTCACAAGCACTCGGCTGATAGAGGCTGGCGGCATTCGCGCACTTCTGTGAGCCAGGTTACTAAAAGCACCTACAGTGCTGGGGCTGCCTATAGCACAAGCGCTTACGCTTCAGCATCTACCGAGCCTGCCTCGGTTGGCATTCCGACTGCAACACCCACTGCTTCTGCAACGGCCGCCTCTGGAACCAGCGCGTCGAAAGGAAACATCATGATCCCCTGGTACTTGTACCCAACCGAGGGAGCCTGGACACCTATGGAAGAATTGTACGTTCTTTCATTTCCTCGCGTCGGAGCCAAATTTTAACCTGTCTGTTCAATAGGATTAGCTCCAACCCCGACGTCCAGTTCACCATCATCATCAATCCTGACAATGGTCCCGGCTCTACCACGCTGCCTGACGAGAACTTCCTGGCCGCAGTCCCCAGACTCACAGCCTACCGCAACGCGTTGGTGATCGGATATGTCCGTACTGGCAAGGGAACCCGCGATATCGCGGATGTGACAAAGGAAATCAACACCTATGCCGGATGGCCGTCTGCCAGCGGAAACTCCTCGTTTGCGGTGCACGGCATCTTCCTGGACGAGGCACCCTCAAAGTATGATGCCGCCGCAGTCACCTATTACAAGCAACTGGCGTCAGTCATCCGAGGAAGCAAAGGACTCGGTCCGAATAACCTCGTAAGACAGCTGCCGACAGCTCTGAGTCCGACATGCTAACCATTGGATAGGTCGTCATGAATCCAGGAACTGTTCCGGATGCCGCCTACCTCAGCATTCCCGATGTTACGGTCATCTTTGAGTCGCCGTACAGTGAGTTTGTGCGAGCCCTTTCATCCGATCAGTTCCAGAAAATCAAGGGCCAGGATATCAGTCGCTTTGCATGCATGGTCTACGATGTTCCTGCCACCGTGGATCTCTCAACCTTGCTCTCTCAGCTGCGTGCCATCTCCAGCCAGACCTACCTCAGCAATTTAAACACCTATCAGGCTTTCGATTCGATCTGGACCAAGGCGGTGTCTCTCCTGTCTACCTAAGAATATTGTTCCGAATGCTCTTCTAGACATGCCCTGGCGGTTGTCATTGCCCTTACAGCTGTCTGATTGTTGTCGCTTTTTGAGACTTCACTGGTATGCTTCGTACGATGTCATGATTGAAATGATTTTATCCTATGCCCCCCGGCATGAATAGAAATGGTTACGGACGTACTAGCTTTCGTTGACACCAACGTCAGGCGTTCAATAGAATATGATTCAATAGCAGTACTGCCACCAGACTCATAGGATGTAGCAGCTAAAACAGGACAAAACCTAGACACATATTTAGAAACAAATCTATCAATTCGCTGGATCAATGTATTCCTCCCTCTGTGACCGTCTAATTCATAGTGACCGTGGGCCGTCATTCATTGCTTCGCACTGTTCTTGTAGATTGTTCGGATGTGATCAGCCAGCTGCTTGGCTTCGTGTCTCACCCACGGCATAGCGTGATGATAGTCCACCTCGTAGAGCGTCGCGGTTTTCGGATCATAACAGTCTTCCAACTGCTGCCTACCCAGCATCAAGAACGGATCTCTGAGCCCATGGACATGCAACGTCGGCAGACTGATCCGGCTAAGCGATTCATCCGGCTTCGTCATATCTAACCCGGTAAGCACTGAGAACGCACCAAAAGCAAAGGAAGCATACACTCAGCCGCATCCGACTCCATCGGGGCCCCTGCTCCATTACACATCACCCCGAAGAGCAGCTCGATATGCGTCTTCTTCGGAATTCCCAACGCAGCCCGCCGCTGCTGATCCAGCAATAAGCCCCCCGCCACGCGCGAACCCTGGCTGAATCCCATCGCGCCCACCCACTCCCCGCCCGAGCCTTCGTCCTCCATCAGCCTCCACACGCGTTCGACCCCATCGTTGCCGGACGCGTCGTACCCGCTCCCATCGGCCCGTTCCCCGCGCTCATCCTGCGTAAACCACGACTTGAAGGGCCCGTAGTCAGCGAAGACGGGCAGAACGCCTGGTCCGGCGCTACGCTCAAAGGGGCCATCGAAGTAGACCAGCTGGAAGTCGTTCTGGAGGAGATGAGCGAGCTGCTCGCATTGGATCTTGAAGATGGCGGCTGTTGAGCCCCCGCCGTGGAAGCAGGCGATGCGGGGGAGGTTGTTGACCGTCATTTTATCCTCTATTTTAGATAGTGGTGTACTTGCCGTAGTAGTGGGCAGTAACTTTGATTGAGATAGTAATTGAAGTCCCGTTGGAATAATTGAAGCAAAGAGAGGGGTAAGCACTAAGCAAGTCCGCCGGCGCTCTAGGTGTATTTCGACTACGCACCGAGGCTTGACTTGTCCTGCGGCTTAGCCTCGGCGCAGATTTACATGCCCAGAACGATCGCCATTGGGTGTAGACTAATCATTGATTTGTGGGACAAGTTGCAATGCCGAGATTCGACGGTGTCCTTGCCACCTTGGCGATATCCTTGGCCGGCTGGTGATGTATTCTTCCAGCATCTAAGCGAAGAATTCACGTAATCCTCAGTTTGGGTCGATTTTTGAGAGGTCAAGCTTTATTTATGTCAAATCCCGAATTGTAACCATAGACGAAAAGCTAACCCCGTATGGTCTCAATACCGTCTGCGTTGTTCTTGACTGAGCCTGTAGATAAGCCATTCAAACCGGGTTCGCCTGCAGAGAGACACGTAGACGACATAACGTGGACAACCCAATCTCGGACATCCAATTATACAGTTGAAATAGGGCAAAGGATCGTGCTATTTGTTCAAAAATAGCTGCTCGAGACCTGTACATGCATTGTTCCGCAATAGTGGCTACGACAGACCGCTCTTTTGACAATCCAGCAAGGATCACCAGTTCGCCTTGGAACGCGTCTCTCTGCATCTTCGCTTGTTTAATTACTACGAGAAAGAGATGATAAAGACCAGGCAATGTTCTTGCCTATGCCAACATGCCCTTCCTACCGCTGCTGGTGCTGTTGGCTGGCATTACATTGCTGATTTCCCGTCGTCGATACAGGGCAATCGCCGACAGAGAAAGTTCTAGAGTGATTGTTGGAGGCCATACATACTCCGAGAGTGTTGGAAATGGACAGTCTTCGGTGCGCGAGGGAAAGGTTGAATCCATCCACAGTGCTTGTATCATCGGTGCTGGACCTGTCGGTTAGTTGCCTCTAGAAACCACGCAAGGCCGCGCCTGACACAATATAGGAGCATTGACGGCAGTTGTTCTCGCGTCGCAGAATCTACATGTCCGATTCCATGTTGTCGATGACGATCCGCGTCTGATCACGGCGTGGAATTCGGATCGCCTGCCAGTCTGTGAACCTGGTCTAGATGAGCTTGCTTTTGAGGACCACGCCGTAGCGTCGGAAAGACCAAAGAAGCAAGCTGGTCAACAGGTTGAAATGCATGAACCAGTTCTGTGTCAACCGCGAATACGAAAACTGCGAAATATCACTTTCTCAACATCCATGCCGGAATAGCAGCATCGGATCTCATCTTTCTCTGTGTGGATCCTCCTCTGGACAACGTAAGCTTTCCCACCCTCAATCAGCAAAGCAATTTATACTAATTTTCAGTCATCCGGTGACGAGACTCCCGGCCTCGACCTAACAAACCTGAAAGCCGCCATCCGCGCCATCGCCCAAGTCTCAGCCGGACACAAGATCATCGTCCACCGGGGCACAGGGCCAAGCGGTATTGTCCCCCGAATCAAGAAAATGGTACGTGGCCAATTCAGTTCGATCGACAAGATAAAGAGCTTACAATAGCACAGCTCAAAAAAACCGCCTCCCCATCCGCCTCCTTCGAAGTTCTCTCCAACCCCGAGTTTCTGGTCCCAGGAACCGCCATCCGTGACCTTCTCTATCCAGTCCGAATCATCATCGGCCACATCTTTTCCGAGGATATGTCACCAGAGGCACTAACCGCTCTGAAAGGCCTGTATGCCTGGGTTCCCGAGGACCGCATCATCACCATGGACGCCTGGTCGTCGGAGCTGGGTAAGATCGCTGCGAGCGCAATGCTAGCGCAGCAGACAAGCAGCATCCAGTCTCTGCGCGCGCTCTGCGAGTCCACGAATGCAAATATCACGCATATCGAGCAGATTGTGGGGGCGCTGTCTGCGATTAGGCATGGGGCCGGTGGATCGAGCCTGCTCAGGGACGTCGGGTGTCTGGTGTATTTGGCACGGGAGCTGGGGCTACCGGAGGTGGCCGAGTACTGGAGGGAAGTACTGAAGATGGAAGCGTATCAGGTACGGCGCCTTGCACAACGCATCAGCGGTAGTCTAACCAGGGGGGAGGAGAGGAGGGATGTCGCCGTCCTTGGATTCGCGAGCAAGTGGAACACGATCGAGATTGGACATACGAGCGTGGCGCGACTAGTGCGTGAACTGACATGTTCCGGCGTCAAAGTGGACATCTACGATTCGCATGTGTCAAAGGAGCAGATTGAGAGAGCGCTAGGCCTGGTCAGCGGCCATCTGGATGCCGTCACGGTCGTGGAGGATTTGCACGCAGCCTGTTCCGGCTGCAGTGCGGTCGTCCTGCACACCGACTGGGACGAGTTCAAAGAGAATCGGCTAGACTGGGAGAAGGTTGCGGGAGAGATGGAGTCTCCAAAGGTGCTTTGTGGCCCTCATGGCATGCTTGATCGGCAGAGGATGGAGAAGCTGGGGTTCAAAGTGCTTTGACCGGAGCCAATTGTGACAACAGATTTTAAAGATGATGTACGATTATGGACAAGCATGTATCAACTCGACTAGCTAAACATACCCCGACATGACCTTCTTAAGCACTAAGCTTAGCGACAAGGCGATCACCCAAGGCCTTGATACTCTCCTCAAAAGTCGACGTGTCGCCAGCAGTCCAGGCAGCGCTTGCACCAGGGACAGCATCCTGTCCCATAAAACCAATGTAGAGCACATCCTCCGCCCCATGACCATTGTCACCGGTAAGACCGTCGTTGGGAAAGCACAGCTTAGCCAGCGAGATGGACGCCTCCCCGGTAGAGACTCCACCGTTGGTATCACCCCAGACACCATAGAACTAACCTGTCAGTTTCACCCCGTATCAACAAGTTGATAGCAACATACCAGTTGGTTATTGCACACCACAGCCATCACGCTCAACGGCTCCATTCCATATTGCTGAGGATCAAATGTCGGCGAGCTGCCCGAGTTACCAAACACCACGTACGGGTGGATGTTGGCGTCCAGATCCGGGATGCCGTATTGCTTCACCGTATCCATGAACGCCGTCATGCTCTGGCCGGAAGGATCATTGGCACAGTCGCCGGCGCTGTTGTTCGCTCCGTCGCAGTCGACGTCCATGTTATCGTACTGGCCGCCGTTCGCGGAGCTGTGAAGGAAGATGGCCCCATTGATGTCGCCGCAGTAGGCGAAGGTGTTGGAGCCGCTGATGCCATCGGTAAACCCGCCTTGCAGCGTGTTATGGCATGTTCCAGACTTCACAACGTTAGCAGACTGCAATAGAGAAGGAGAGAAGAGGTTACCTTGTGTTTGTTGTAGATTTGCTGTAGGTTGGCTGGGACACTATAGGCCGAGGCCAGGCCTGCTCCGGCCAAAATGGCAGCATTTGAAAGATAGCGCATTGTGAAGATTGCTGTTCTCTAGAGAAGATAATCGAGTGATGGTTATTGACGTCTAGATGGACCCTGCCGGGAGAGGCGAAGCTTTATGTTGCTTCTGGACCTAGTCTCCAGTGTTTCAGCGCACAAGCTAAATGACCCTGAAACTGTAGCACCGGCAAAGTCACCGGCAAAGGACCCCGATGAAACACCCTGCAATACTACCCTCCGCAGCTTATCAGCCCATGATCACAGCTGTAGACTAAAGGGAATTGGTTAGTTGGGGAAATGGGGCCAAAACCGGACCTTGTGTCTGTGATCGTCCCGTTGTGGCTGATCACCCCTATCGAAGGGTTGCATTGGCTAGTGCACGAAGCTGAGACGGGAGGACAGTTTAGGATAGGATCTTCACAATCAGCAGGGACATACTCCAGTGTCGGCAAGTAGAGTAGGAGATTGGTTTCTGCCTCATGAGGGACCTGGTCCTTGAACGGATTTCCAGTGTCGCACACATAGAGTCACATACAGGTGGCTTCCATTAGTTACATGGTCACGATCAATACTTGAAGGCTTCATCAATTTTTATCTGTTATAAAGAATTAGGCTGACTATTGTTGTAAAATATATGCGGGAAAGGAATGGGTTAGACGTCCTAATGGTATAAACCTCTATACTACATTGTGAAAACTATCTTCATCGGATGAGTGGAATTTCTCTATCTTCACATCTCGCAATATCCAACTTCAATAGTTCGTCTTCCCCTCCTCTTCCCCTTTCAGCTTGTCCTCTTTAGGCTTGCCAACGTTCTTCCAGCCCATTCCCCAGGCAAAGAAGAACTGCACCACACTCAGCGCAGCGAGCAGGTAGAAAACATGTCCAATGCTCTTTGAATAAGCGAGCAAAACACCGGGGAGACTCGCCTCAGACACAATGCTCCGGAAACCAGTCGCACCAGCAGCAATCACTGTCTCGGGGTCGACGGTAGGGGCGTACTGCGGGATAGTACGTCTCAAACCGTGAGAGAAGAGGACTTGTGCGGCCGCAAGAAATATTGCAGCGCCAATGGTCTGGCTGAAGGTTAAGATGGCCATGGCAGTTGACATCTCGTCGGGCAAGACGGCGTTCTGGACGGCTATCATGGGCTATTTCTTCATCAGACACATCCGACAGTGCGATGTACGAAATGATTGGACTTACCATCTGCATTCCTGCTCCTCGACCAAATCCTATTAGAGCTTGATAGCCGGCCCATTCGCGTGTAGGAGTGGTGGGAGATAGGGTCGACAGAAGGCCACACCCGACAGCGTTGAGGATTCCGCTGAGAATCGCAAATGGTAGATAGTAGCCTATTCTTCCAGCTATGTCAAGAGACTATTAGCACGAATGACGACAAACAATAAACGGCTGACATACTGAGAGCCCCCGAGACCACAGCCATGACAAGCTGGCACAGCACACTCGGCAACAAATCAACACCACTAACCAGCGCCGTCTTGTCTCTCACTGCCTGGAAGTATATCGGCAGATAGTACGACGCAGTGAGTGTAATTCCGAACAAGGTCATGCTCACCACACAGTTGTAGGAGACGATCCGTTTGCGAACCACGTGGAATGGAATCATAGCATCCTTCCCCATGTGGTGCTCCCATCCCAGAAAGACGATGAACATTGCACCTGCACCGCAGAACAGGCCGATGACAGTGGCGCTGTCCCATGCATATTGATTACCTCCGTATTGAAGGGCCAGCAGCAGTTGGGTTGCAGCAGGAGCAAAGAGGACGAACCCGATGATATCGAACGTCTTGAAGAATGTCGGTAGAACTTCAACGGCTCGACCCTTTTCTCGTTGTTCGGGAATGCGCGTGAAGACTAAAAGGGCGGCAACTAGTGCTCCAATGGGTAGATTGATGTAGAAGCCTGTTAATTCTGGACGTCAGACCTAGTTCAATCCGAGACGGGACCCAGTCATCTTACACCAGCGCCATGTCGTATATGTGGTCAACGCACCACCGACCAGAGGGCCTAAAACCAGTCCAATCTGTGACACTGTTCTGTTTCCTGTGTTCTGACAAGGCTGTACATACGTCCCATCATGATGCCAACCAAAACTTCTCAACATGTCAGCTTCCATTGATCAACTTCTCCTAAAACAACCCATACCTGGCCTTCTATGCATCGGAACGGCACCAGCAACAATCGTCAGAGCGCCGTTGGCCATGCCCGCGGATCCCATTCCCGCAATAGCCCGGCCGACAATGAGCATTTTCGACGAGGTAGCGACGCCGCATATTAAGGAGCCCAGTTCGAAGACTGTGAAGAAGCCCAGAAATACCCACTTCACGGGGAATCGGCCGTCCATTGCGAAGCGTGTAGAAGGTGAACTACCTTGACGGGGAAATAAGTGTAAAACTTCCCTGTGAGAGGCTGAAGGGCCGAGCTGTCAGAGCAGTTTGGATCAGAGCTCTGGGGTTTCATTCCTCAACATAAGATATTTGACCTACCTCGCCAACGTGTAAGCACTGCCGTACCAAGCTATATCCTCGAGAGAGTGGAATTGGTTGGTAATCTGCGGTATGGCCTATTGATTCGAGATTAGAGAAAAGTTCAGCACTTTCAACTGGAACGACAGACTGTAGACAGGATTGACATGTCCAGCATCATTAGGAATATGACCAAAGTAATCCCCGAGGTAATCTTATCTCTATAAAATAGCTTTAATATATTCTTTAGAAGGGTTAATAAGAAGCTTAGTTATATATTATTTAAGAATAAAAAGAAAGTAAAGAAGTATTAACTAATCTATAATAGTTAAGTCCTCTTCTAGCTTAGTATAAAGATATATTTAGAGAAGAGTTAGTTATAGGAATACCTCTAGTTTAACTATTAGAATATTATATTAATATAGGAGATTTACTATTAATTAATATTAACTCTTACCCTTAGTTACTAGAGAAATTTAATAAGATAAAAAGGTAAGTTAAAGAGCTTTTAAAGAAAGTAGTTATTTATCTATTAGCTAGTACTTAGGGCTTTCCTATTATAATTATCCTAAAGCTAGATAGAAAGTAGTAATTTTATATTAACTACTACTTATTTAATAAGATAACTATAAAGAATACCTATCTACTACTAAGAATTTAAGAACTCCTAGATTAAGTAGGTTAAGCTAAGTATCTTTTAAAGCTTAATCTCCTCTCTAGTTATTAATAATTATAAATAGGTAAATTATTAATTCTAAAGATAGCTTTTAATATATTATTTAGTAAGTTTAAGTAGTTAATAATATTATTTAGACTTTATAATACTTCTATATTATTCTAGATAATAATAAATAGTATTATATAAGACCTTAACTTTATAGTAGTATATCTTAATAATATCTTAATCTTCTTAGACTTAGAAAAGGAATATTAGAAGTATATTTAATAAGTACTTAACTAACTCTAAGAATATTAGTTATATATAAAACTCTCTAAGTATATATTTACTAAGAGAGAAATATAATTTTATAGCTATATTATTAGTAATAGACTAGTTTAACTAATGCCTGCAAAGATTAAGGTTATAAAGATATAACTAAAACTAATAAATATTTATAAAGTTTAATAATTCTTAGGACTAGCTATATACTATTACTAATTTATATATAAGTTTATAAGAATTATAGCTCCTCTTTATAAACTTCTAAAGAAATTAGATACTTTATATTATAAGAAGAAGTTTTAACCTATAGTCTAGAATACTTAATATTAGTAAGTATTTATAATACTAAAGAATATAATAGTTTATATACCTATTCTTAAGATTACTAATCCCTTACTACTATATTAAATTAAGACTAATGCATCTAAATAGGCTCTTAGTATAGTACTATTATAATAAGATAAAAAGAGATAGTAGTATCCTATAGTATTTAATAGATAAAAGCTTAATAATACTAAAAAGAACTATCTTATATATAAGAAGGAACTTCTTATAATTAAAGAAGTACTCTAATAATAGTTAGCTTATTATAATTATAATAGATTATAAAAGCCTTTAATATCTTATCTATATAAAGATATATTAAAAATATCTTATATATTAGATTAAAGAGTTTTAAATATATAATCTAGTTATTAAGTATTATAAGGGAACTAAGGTAGTTATCCCTAATATAATAAGTTATTAACTAGACTTTATTAAAGAAGGTCTAGTAAATTAAGTATAAATACCTACTTTTAGTCTATCTATAATATAGTTATAGTAGATAACTAGTAAAGAATACCTTTATATATTATTATATCTCTGTAAACTAGAATAGTATCTATTAATAATCTTATTCCTAAAGGGTAAGGATCTAAATATATCTAATAATATTAAAATAAAGATTAAGATATTAGCACTAAACTTTTAACTTAAAGTAGAATTTATTAACTAATAACCTACTAATTAACTATATTATATTAATAAAGGTATTAAAACACTATATCTTAAAATTCTCTTTTAAAAGGACTTTATATTATAGCTTTATAACTAGTTTAGCTATCTAGCCTATCTAGCCTTACTTAGAGTAATTTATACCTATGCCTAGTAGCCTATAATATAAAAAGATATCTAAGATATTACTAGGAGCTATCTAAATTATTAAATAATAAAGCCTTTAAGACTAAATCTTAAATATAAAGCTACATAGCACTTAGTGAAGAAGGGTATTTATCTATTTAAATATTAGGGAATTAATCTTATTAGATATCTACCTATAATACTAAATAATAATTAATAGATTATTATAGCTATTAATTATATAACTAGTTAGGTTATAGTAAAAGCTATACCTAATATAAAAGAGGATATATTAGCCTATTTTCTCTATAAAGATATCTTTATTAATTATARAGTATTTAARGAACTAYTCTTAGATAATARTTTAAACCTTYTATYCTAAGTTATAGTAGCTTACCTTAAGATTCTTAWRGTAAAATATTATATAATAACTCTAAATYATCCTAGAACTAATAGTAAGAATAAAAACATAAATAGCTTACTAGGTAAGATATTAATAAAGTATCTTATAGATAAACTAATATATCTATAAGATAAATATCTACCTCTAGCTATCTTTATTACTTAAGTATATATCTATATCTAGATAAAGCTATTACTATTCTACCTTCTCTATAGTATATATCTATTACTATTTAGTTATTTATAAACTAATTAACTAACTGCCTAAGGTATTAAAACTTAATTATAATATATTAACTATATATAATCTCTAGCTAATAAGAAGCTATTAGTACATGTAATTAAATAGAACTTAATTTAAGATAGTAATATAAAGAAATCTTATCTTATAAAAGATTAATAGGTCCTTATTTAGAATAAATCCCCTTAGAAATTCTAATATAAATAGTTTAGCCTATATAAGATTAAATAATCATACCTACTTAGTATATATGCTATTTCAGAACCTAATAGATATATAGTAGAGAACTTAATTAATAGCTAATAATTAGTAGAAGCTAATTTTAATAGTAAGCTAGAGAAACTATAGATATTAGCTATACTAATATAATAACTATAGAAGGTAGGATTATTACTTTATATATTAATTAAAGTATATAGGGTACTTAAAGAGGTTGAAGAACCCTTATTCTTATATAATAAACTTTTAAAAATAATTTAAAAGGATTAGGAATCCACTAAATATTTAGAAGTATATTTAAAGTAGGTAGAGGAGGGTATCTTAATAAAGTAATATACTTAATAAATAAAGATTTAAGAATATATTAATAATATACTAATAGAAACTAGCTACCCTGTATACTATCTAAAGAAGTTAACTCTAGGAAGTAACTAGAGTAAAATTAACTTAACTTCTTTAGATAATAAGTTAAATAGGGGAATACTATATAATTTATTAAAAAATAATTAAATCTAATAGAATACTAATAGAAGAGATATAGACTTTAATAAACTATTTATAGTAGTAGTTCTAACTTATTAGAAGTAATTAGAGAAGGATAAGTTATCTAGTATTATAAGAATATTTAAATAGAAGAGAAAAGACCTATTTAATTAGAGTTAAAATTACTTAAAAATAATTAAATATAAAAAAAAATAATTAAATAAAGAGACCTTCTAGGCTTCCTTAACTTTATTAGCTTTTTTAATAGAAGTAATACTTAACTATCTTAGTCTCTACCTCTACCTTAAAGATTAGTAAGACTAGTAAATTACTTATCCTAATATATCTTATTCTTTAGATTAAGTTCTTTATTATTATTATTTACTTTATTAGGGTAAAGAGCTTCCTTAAGCTTTAAAATTTTTCTATTAATAAGTTTAGAGAAATAAATAAGATCTTTCTAAACTACTTAAAGTATAATAAGATCTTTAAAGTTAGATATTAATATAGACTAAAGGAGAATAGTACTATTAAAAGAATAATTAAAATAATATTTCTTAAAGAGAGTTAGAGATACTCTACTTAAAGTAAGATAATATTTACTCTTTAGATTACTAAAACTAGAAAAGATAGGGTTAGACTAAGATAGATTTAAGTAAGGATTAGTAGTAATAGCTTCTATAGTAGGACCTATATTAGAAATAAAGAGATTTATAGTACTTAAAGTTAGAGTAGTACCTAAGATTAGAGAACTACTATCTAGTATTAAGAAGATTAGAATATTAAAGTATACTATCTTTACTTAAGCTTTCTCTATAGTAGTATAGTAATAATAAATACTTAATATAGAAATAAGATTCTCTTTAGAACTACTTAATTAACTTAATCTAGTCTAATACTTTAGATTAGTATTAGGTGTAGGTAGAATAGCTTTACTTATAAAAAAAAAGGAGTAATAACTATAATAATTTAAGCTAGATTTAGTAGTAAGCTTAGGAGGGGTCTAATATAAAGTATTTAATTATTATTTAATAGATATATTAATAGTTTTACTTAGAGATATATCTTATAAGGTAAAACTATTATTCTAAATCTTTAGTAGACTACTAGCTTATAGAATTATTCTATATAAATAAGTAACTATTAGTAAAAACTTTAAAATAAGAAACTTATATATTATCTCTAGAATTCTATTACTTACTATAACTAAGGTAGAATTTATAATTTAAATCTTTTCTATATTATAGGTAGTTAGTGTAAGCACCTTAGAATAATATCTAAGTTATACTATTTAAATTATACTTAGGAGATATAATATATTTAAGAAATATACTAAAGTCTATATATTATTTATAACTAGGACCTATAGTAATACCTTATTAATAGAGAATAATAGCTAATTACTAAGATAGATTAATAATTAGCTTAGTTAATAATTTACTACTCTTACTATAAGACTATTTAATATT